CCTAGGGTAAGCAGCAGTGCTAACTCTGCTTTGCCGAGATTCCATCCGTGATACGGCAACCATGGCGCCGGCAGACAAGCAAAGAGCAGTGCCGTGCCTGCACGCCTGGTAGTTCCCGCATGGCAAGACTGCCATACATAATGCGCAGTGCGAGGCCTTCGGTCATCTGTCCTGCGAGCCGCGACGATGTTTGCCCGTCTATCAACTGTTGGCTATCGTAGTGCAGATGCACGCTCCACGTGAACTGCGCCCTCCTCTTGGAAGCTCATTTAGCTTTAGACTACGCTGCAAGCCGACAGCTTTCATAACAGATACATTCCATGCCCGCCAAGGCTGGCGGCATCAGCGCGACAGCCTCGTCGGTGGGCTCAGAATGGAAAGAGACGATGGAGGCTTCAGCCACAGCGAATGCTTTTGCGATGCTGTTAGCATTCCCGTTTCACATAATTCATCGAAAAAGCCATACAGGCCTCAGGGCATAAGAAACGAACATCAATCAACGAGGCACACTGAAGGTGTGGGTTAATTGCAATGATGTTATGGAACACATTAGTTATGACACGTGACACCATTCCCGCCTGACGTCTGCTTTTTAGAGCTGTCAAATGCATGGCCCCAATTTCATGTGAGACCGCTCGCCCCGTGGACGACGAGCACCCTGACGCTGTCTTGCTGTCGGCGAACTGGCTTGCACGTTTATGTTGAGGTCCAGGGCTGGATGGCAGGCGTGGCCAGCTTAGAGGTCCAGCGCTGGGTTGAGCTCGTGTCACGCTTAGAGAGGTTCAGGACTGGGTGACGCCCGTGGCCCGCTTAGAGGTCCAGCGCTGGATGGCGTCCATGGCCCGCTTAGAGGTCCAGAACGGGATGGTGCTCGGCCTGCTTCTGCACGCGATGGCAGGACGCTGGCCATCATCATCTTGGGCTGGCCGGTGACCTCGAACCGGTCTGGGTTTCAGGGCGTTGGACACCATGGCGCAGCCATACTCGTTTTACCCGTACAGTCACGCGCTGCTCATGGGTGGCATGCATGAGTCGCGTGAGTACTGCGCCCAGCGCTACCGCCGCTGCCCCACCGACCGCGACGGCTTCATCAACGTGTTCAACAACATGAACCGCTACTTCCCCGGCGGCATGCAGCAGTTCCTGCCCGACTTCCGGCTCGGCATCCCGGCGCTGGACGCTTTCCGGCCAGGCTAGCGTGGCCGGCGACCGTTCGCAGCCGCCACTACAGCACGGGACGGCGACGCGCAGGCCGGCGGCGTCCGGCTCCGGACTGGGAGGCATACTGAGCAGACACACCGAGCAAGCGGAAGTGGAGGCGGACCGGACGGCATGCCGTGCAGTCAGCGCGTGCATTGCACCAAGACGGGAAGGGGGGACGTTGTGTGTTGTCAGTGCTTGCATTGCGCCAAGAGGGGGAGGGGACATGCCGTGCAGTCAGCGCGTGCATTGCACCAAGATGGGACGGGGAGAGGGCGTTTTCTGTTGTCAGTGCGTGCATTACGAGACGGCAGTGCGTGGCGTGCAATGCTGGCGTGTGACACAGTGACACAGTTAGGCGCAGGAAGTCACTGGAAGATTCTTGTGTGTCATGGTCAACTTTTATGACAAGGACTGATTGATAGCCCGCGGCTTACTGTCACTGGTGGCCACTGACTGCCTCGCGGTGAATGCGCAGCGTACAGCGAAGCGCTTTGGTTCGTCCAGGTTGATTTCTTCGGTGACTTCAGCTATGGTGGACCAAAATTGCCTGGCCGTTATGCACCTTTGCCATATCGCTGGCCAGAAAATGCAAAAATCTGCTCCGTCCACCGAGATTAGAGCCCGGACCTCTGAAATGCCAGTCTAGTATGATAACCGTAACGGCATGGAAGAACTCAATCTAATCGCCGCATTTTACCACCAGTGAAGATGTTATTTATCGCAGTTGCCCACAAGCAGGTAGAGACATGACGGATGATTTTCTATCTGGGAACATCATGCTCATGCGATGTTGTTTTTCAGCGACTCTGACTTACACAGGGCCTCACGTGCTGGAACAGCTAGCATACTGAACAGGTAATCCGGAGATCCGGATTCGAATTTCGGTGGACGACACTAGGTTAACGCATAACCTGGAGAGCAGTATCGTCCAGCTGCACAGCAGACAGCAGTTCTGCCCCGTTAAAAATGGAGGAGTCACTGAGTTCAATAACACCGAAGATCGAACATCAGAGAAAACAACATCGCACGACCACAGTACTCCCAGCTAAAAAGAACATAGCTTATGCATATATTTTTAGTTATCCTTTATCAATTGTTATGGCATGAACAAAGTATAGCCAACTCATCATCGACCACCGTTTCAAGCCTCTGCACAGCGTGTTGCCTTGATTGTTAAGTGCTGTCGAACACAATAATATGGACAGAAAAGTGGTCTATGGATATTGTGTATGGAGACAAGCGCAGTGTTCCATAGTGCAAAGCGACGAGAACGCTGGCGCACGCGCCATCGGGAGCGCATGAGTAGCGCTCCCCCATGGCCGCCCTTCTTCCCGAGCGCCTGCAGCACAGCGTCAGGTAGGACAAGCCATGGATTACACTGCACGTGTCAGAAGCATTGCAGTACAGAGACTGACCTAAGCCCTCCTGGTTACCAAGTTACTTGAACTGAACGAGGATCAGAAAAATTTGAAATCTTCAGTATAACTTAAATTTCGGAAATTAAAGTGCATTTCTTCATATATTTCACGGGGCGTTAAGCTCGCAACACCTGACACCAGATGTCTTGATAAACCAGTTTGATTTTTAATTCGCAGCACGCGGGATCTGAAGCTGCCGGTCTCATGAATCACGGACCGGTGCAGAGGGCATAGACGCAAACGGGACTCGTCCGAGATCGGGATGTTCCTCCCGGTCTTCCGACACCACTCATTGCACTCATGTTCCCACCGGTGCCGGTGTCCGCAAGGCAACTCCAAGCTACACATACACTTCATATAAGCATACGTGTCAGCGGTAACACTGAAGCGGGCATGTTTGACCTTCGTATGTGGATCTGTGCTGGGAGGACCAGATTGAAGCACACAAAGCGATATTCAAATATCCCCACACCCTTTTTAGAAGGATTGGGCAAACCAAAGATGGATGCTTTTAGTTACTGACAACAGGTTGTGGCATTTTTTCCCATCCATGTCTCCGCGGAATAAGGCCTTTACACAGTCTAACACGGCCGAGTTTCACACATCAGTAAATCCGATTATGACGGTGGGCTAGTTTTTAGTGCTGCGGCGGAAAGAAAGTGCAAATAATGCGGTTATTTTAATCACAATATATCAGAAGTAGTAACTTGTGACACATGGGATTCCTCGAGGCTGAAAGCTGCTTTTTGGCGTGAGAAATATCAGCTCTGTTAAATGTCGCAAGGTCGACATCTCCAAACCGTGGCAGCCACCAAAAGCTCTCGCTCAGTACATTGGTTGGCTGTAACATCACGCACAGCGTGGCGCGATGGTACCGAATATTCTCTTTTGGCATATTACATACTCCCGACCAAGGGAGTATCAAGGGATAGAACTACTCCTCCGACATTGCAGCATTACCGGAATGTGGTGTCCCGCGGTGACGTCACTCTGCCCTGGCTGCGAGGAAGAAAATCTAAACCAACCGAGACAAGCGTTGACGCACTCATTGTCCGCGAGCGTTGGTGATACGCACGACGTCCTATCGTAATCAAATGCGGATAATCGATTGCGTCATGATTGCCTGACTGTGTTAGTTCTGAGATTGCAGCGGACTAAGCACCGATAAACTGGCATATTTTCTTTCGGTGTTTATTTACATGATTTTACTTGAGTTTTCAATGTTTGTGTCAGCGTGGTCTTTATGGGTCAGTTGCGCGCACGAAGACTTTACGGTGTGTGAGTGAGCTGTGCAGTTCTTAGAATATGCTGTGATGAGAGACGTCAATGCTACTGCTTTTTTGAAGCAGTTTGTTTCATTATCTGGCCAGATTTCGTTTTTAGCTAGCAACACATCAGTTTCGGCAGGTATCTGATTTAATGCCAGGCCACAGTAATGTCATTCTCCAGTTTTTTGGGATGGGAATTTGAACCCTTCTTTGGGAACGTACTGCCCAACCATTAACCGCATTGCTTCCATCTTATTTAACAGGACGAACCACGTCCGGCAGACAATATTTAATAGTCATTTGGGCCCTTGTGTAGCTCTTTCAAGCGTAGCGTTCCCCGCAAGGCAGGCCGCCTGGGATATTTTGCGAACCTTGACCGCAGCCACATGTATCCCCCTCACATCTCGGTATATTTTCTCGACGGAAAACCAGACAGATGGCGATCAATAATCGACAGTCCTTCCGATCGTCCTCATATGACATTCAGGACATAGTTTATCAGTTATATCAGTTATATTATCAGTTATAGTTTTAGTCTTTCTCACCATTGATCGTTCCTTTAATTCTTAACTTGATTGTCATTTTAGTTTGCTTATGGGTCGACCAAATGAACGGTAAAATTCCCTACCATATTCCCGAAGCAATGCTAGTCAACCATCCTGATAGAGTATGGCTTCCGAAATGAAACTTCGGAGACACGTGGTAGCGGACTCACGACCTCCACATTGGTTGCTAGTGCAATTCGAGTCTAAATCTCCTGTTGCAACCACGTGACATAACAAATTCTTGGGACCTTTTCCGTCCGACACAATGGCTGCCGGCAGAACCCAATAGAAAAATGGAACCCAATGGAACCCAAGGAACCCAAGATGAAGTTTTCGGGAGTAATCGGTGAGTGTACACGCACATCTGGCCGCAAAATCACGTACATACATAGCCCCAGGGCGCACCTGCGCTCGTCATGAAGTTGATGGTGCCGCGCCATTCCTCCGTAACCCTCGGCTGCGGCGGCCGTCAGCTCAACTCAGCGCCGCCGGCCGGCGTCATAGCCGGCGAACGAGCGACCTACCTGGCGATGCCGCCCGTCACAGCCGGCGACCGACCGACCCACCTGGCGATGCCGCCCGTGCACTGGGCCTTGTGCTCCTCGGAGGCGTCCTCGGCGGCCAGCGACAGGCCCTGCTCGTAGTGCTGCAGCGCCTGCTGGTAGTCACCGCTGTGAACAGCGACGGGTTATGAAGCAGCGTGGTTGGGTACGGAGCCTGAACACGGACGGGTGTCGGTCCAGGCCGGAGGGGAGGTGGTCCCAGACCTCGGTCACGGACGGGTGTCGGCTCTGGGAGGGAGGGGAGGTGGTCCCAGACCTCGACCACGGACAGGTGTCGGCTCCGAGCGGGAGGGGAGGTGGTCCCAGACCTCGACCACGGACGGGTGTCGGCTCCGGGCGGGAGGGGAGGTGGTTCCAGACCTCGACCACGGACGGGTGTCGGCTCTGGGCGGGAGGGGAGGTGGTCCCAAACCTCGACCACGGACGGCTGTCGGCCCTGGGCGGGAGGGGGGGTGGTCCCAAACCTCGGCCACGGACGGATGTCGGCTCTGGGCGGGAGGGGAGGTGGTCCCAGACCTCGACCAAGGACGGGTGTCGGCTCTGGGCGGGAGGGGAGGTGGTCCCAAACCTCGGCCACGCACGGGTGTCGGCTCTGGGCGGGAGGGAAGTTGGTCCCAGACCTCGACCACGGACGGGTGTCGGCTCTGGGCGGGAGGGGAGGTGGTCCCAAACCTCGGCCACGGACGGGTGTCGGCTCTGGGCGGGAGGGGAGGTGGTCCCAGACCTCGACCACGGACGGGTGTCGGGTCCGGGCGGGAGGGGAGGTGGTCCCAGACCTCGACCACGGACGGGTGTCGGCTCTGGGCGGGAGGGGAGGTGGTCCCAAACCTCGGCCACGGACGGGTGTCGGTTCTGGGCGGGAGGGGAGGTGGTCCCAGACCTCGACCACGGACGGGTGTCGGGTCCGGGCGGGAGGGGGGGGGGGGTCCCAGACCTCGACCACGGACGGGTGTCGGCTCTGGGCGGGAGGGGAGGTGGTCCCAAACCTCGGCCACGGACGGGTGTCGGCTCTGGGCGGGAGGGGAGGTGGTCCCAGACCTCGACCACGGACGGGTGTCGGGTCCGGGCGGGAGGGGGGGGGGGGTCCCAGACCTCGACCACGGACGGGTGTCGGCTCTGGGAGGGAGAGGAGGTGGTCCCAGACCTCGACCACGGACGGGTGTCGGCTCCGGGCGGGAGGGGAGGTGGTCCTAAACCTTGCCCACGGACGGGTGTCGGCTCCGGGCGGGAGGGGGGGGGGGGGGTCCTAAACCTTGCCCACGGACGGGTGTCGGCTCCGGGCGGGAGGGGGGGGGGGGGTCCTAAACCTTGCCCACGGACGGGTGTCGGCTCCGGGCGGGAGGGGGGGGGGGGGTCCTAAACCTTGCCCACGGATGGGTGTCGGTTCTGGGCGGCCGCACATGGGGAAGGGAAGGGGGGGAGGGCGAAGCCACACGGAGACGAATGTTGAGGTCAGGCGGCCCCACAGATGGGAGGGGGGAGAAGGGCGCGGAGCTCGGACCTCGGACACGGAAGGGTGTCGGTTCTGGCCGCCCGGCAGTCGGTCCTGAACCACGTCCACAGTCTTTTCGTCAGGCCGCCAATGCACGGTGACTGGCAGACCAACCTTTCACGCGTTATGGGACATCACTTAAGACAGTGAGGTCAAGCGAATGGGTCGGCATGACGAAGCTAATAAAAGGTCCGTGGGTAAGTACTGCCAACCTTGCTAGTGATATTTTTATGCACCATCGGTCCGATAGAGTACGGGGAGAACGACGATGGTCGGCATCCACCGTCAATATGCGATTAACTACAGCTATCTTTCCAAACCACGACTCTGAGGCCCTGGCATTTCCAGTGACCCCTGCTCCGTGCGGCCGACAGCACGGCCAGCCTGACTCACGTGAACTCCAGCTGGTGAGCGTACTCCCGCGAGATGTCCGGTATCTGGTCCGGTGCCAGCTTACTGGCCAGCTGTAGCGCCATGTCCCACTGCAGAAGGTCACGACGCATCTCCAGTGCTGCCACCGGGGTAGTCGACGACAGGAAGAAGGTCTGTAATCAGTCGCACACGTCAGGAAAAAGTCAACAAATAGCCGCGGATGTCAGGAAGAGCGTCTATGAACTGCCGTGCATGTCAGGCTGAGGGCCTTTAAGCAGCCGTGAACGTCGGGCTAAGGAGGGTATGTAAACAGCCGTGGATGTCAGGCTGAAGGTCTGTGAACAGCTGTAGTTGCCAGCCTAAAGAGAGTATGTTAACAGCCGTGGATGTCAGGCTGAAGGTTTGCAATCAGTAAAAGTATCAGAGGAAGCAAGTCTGGAAGAGACATGATGAAGGACTGTGCATAACCCGTCGTGACATGGATGAGCACAAAGGGAAGCTCAAAAAGTATGCACCAAAAAAACTAAGTCAAAAAGGCAGTGTAGAGAACCTGTAAATAACAGCGTGCACATCTCGCGTTGAACCCTATACCAAGAACGTCAAACATTCCAGTTTATGAATGCAGCCTTGACAAGATCCAACCGCACAGATATAAGAGGTGAACAAGCTTGAGACCTTTTCTAAATTCGTCAAGCTGCTAAGTCAGACACCTTTTAAGCACACATGGATCAAGATCAAGCCGTCCCTGTCCGCTCAGGCAAGATACGAAAGTTCTGCATTCACGCGGCGTTAGAACATTGCACATGCGCGAGCTGAGCACCATGGCTAAAAAGCAGTAGATCATTCTCTACAGGCCACACAGACAGAAATGGCGTCCCTGTGCCGCGGGTGCAGCGCGCGGACGTGCGGTTGCAGTCGAGCACCTGTGCCTCGTCAAAGTCGCCCAGGAACATGGCCACGTATCCTGCCAGCAGCTTGATGTCCTCGATCTCGCGGATCGTCTCCAGGGACCAGAGCATGCCAACGTCGCCCATCTGCCTGTAGACGCGCATGGCCATGTCGATCTGCAGGTCCTTCATGCAGGCCTCGGCCAGCTGGCGCCAGGCCTCCGGCTTGTCCAGCGCCTGCGCCACCGTCCAGGCGTCCTTGTACCTGCGGGCCGGCCGGGCCGCGGTCAGCGCCGAGCTCAGCCACCGCGCACCCGACGGAACACGGGAGGCCGAGGGCTGTCGCGCTTCTCGCTAGTGAAAACCAAATCAATGAACTCAATCACTAGTGCCTCTGATTAAGAAGAAAAGACTGAAAACAATACCAAACATGTAAAGAAATATGGACGGAGAGTGAGGATTCCATGGTGCCCACCACCGAACGCCTATGATCGTCAGTCATCACATCACGCAGTGGAGCGAGGATGGCGCATCTCGTTCATCGCATGACGGACGGTCTGTGGTGGCCTGCTGCGCCAGTCGCCTACCTTCGGAAGGAGACAGACAGTCTGTGGCGGCCTACTGGTGCCAGTCGCCTACCTTCAGAGGGAGACAGACAGTCTGCGGCGGCCTACTGGTGCCAGTCGCCTACCTTCAGAGGGAGACAGACAGTCTGTGGCGGCCTACTGGTGCCAGTCGCCTACCTTCAGAGGGAGACAGACAGTCTGTGGCGGCCTACTGGTGCCAGTCGCCTACCTTCAGAGGGAGACAGACAGTCTGTGGCGGCCTACTGGTGCCAGTCGCCTACCTTCAGAGGGAGACAGACAGTCTGTGGCGGCCTGCTGCCGCCAGTCGCCTACCTTCGGAGTGCAACGTTTTTCTTCATGGCGGTGACCAGCTCCTTCTCCTCGTACTGGTTCGTGTTGGCCTCCATCTCGTGACTGGCCAACACCTGTTTGAGATGGCACAGCTCGGTCACAGCCGGTCCGCCAGCGCCCTAGGCCACCGATGTAACAGTGGGGACGCAGCGGCCATCGGTGTAACAGCGGGGATGCAGCGGCCACCGGTGAGGCAGCGTGGATGCGGCGGCCATCGGGGTAACAGCGGGGACGCAGCGGCCATCAGCATGACAGCGGGGAGCCAGCGGCCACTGAAGCGACAGCGGGGAGTTAGCGGCTACCGGTGTGACAGCGGGGAATCAGCGGCCACCGGTGTGACAGTGGGGAGTCAGCGGCTGCTGGCAGCTACACCATACGGTCCCGTACTGCCGCGTTGCCGGCACACGGCTCGCTCCCTGCTGCGATGATAGCTTACGATGAACCGGACATTGGTGGCACTCCTAACTCACAGGTGGCAACCGGGGACACCGGGCAGCCCCGCCACAGCAGCCTCAGGGCATCAGTCTGGGGCGTCCCTCGGTGGCAGGCTGGACACGGCAGACATCAGTTCGGAACGACCGTGGTTAGCGGTCTGGACGTGGCGGACATCGGTCCGGGACGCCCCTCGGCGGCGGTCTGCCTCACCAGCTGCGTGACGCGGCCACTGCAGGTCTGCAGCGTAACCTCGCCGTTGTAGAGCAGCAACGGTGACTGGCCGGCCGGCAGCGGCGTCGAGTCCACCATGTCGATCACGGCCCCTGGCAGTGGGCACGGGAAGCGTCGGCGACTGTCAGTCGGGCGGCACACAGGAGCGGGCCGAGGACGGTACAGGGTCGGGGATGGCCAGACAATTATATCAGCAACGTGTGATAAAGTGTCTCTGAACTATGAAGGCCACGCTACGGCCGAAAAGAAAGGATAAGGCTGACCTCCAAGCTGTTAATGTCACGCAGTCTAGTTGATAACGGTGAGAATACCAAAGCTAGTTCATAATGCCATAACCATTACATCAGACTAGAAAGGCGGGAGTCGCGGTAGCACTAACCATCGACGTTCTCTCGCGTGTACACGAACGTGGCGATGGTGGTGCGGTCCCAGGCGATGAACACGTTCCGGTCGAGCGGGTAGTTCTCCCAGAGCACGCCTAGCGCTTGGGGCGGGAACTTGGTGATGCGCTCCAGTAGGTCGTTCACCTGCCGGGAGCGGCCGGCAGACCTGCTCAGGGCACCGGCCGGCAGCGGCCCGCCACCGCGCAGCCCGAGCACAGGCCGCTTGCCATGACGCCACATCGAGCACGCTCCTGGAGACGGCATGACGTGGGGCCGGCCGGGTCCGCGTCGTGCCGTCTCTCTCGTGCGATTATGCTAGTACGTCTCCAATCAGCATAGAATGACGGTGGGAAGCTGATCGCGGCAATGCATTTCTGAACGGCTGTCATATTTCCTCATTGTGATACAGCAGCGATCGGAATGTCCCCTGCAAGGCGCCATAATGCCATCGTTACAGGCATTGTTCTACGTGCATGTTTTTAATACTTGGAGGACACCTACCGGATTGAAGATGTGCCCCTCACTGCGCTCGTCGACAAACACCACGCGTGTGCCGTTGACCTCCGGGTACACCTGGCGGATGCCCATCGTGTGGCGGTACTCGTTCACTACCGCCCAGTCCTCCAGAAAGAAGAACACCAGCTGTCCGGTCTGTCGGAGCGGGGTCACGGCTGCTCAGCACCACACCGACAACACCAGCTGTCCGGTCTGTCGGAGCGGGGTCACGGCCGCTCAACACCACACCGACAACACCAGCTGTCCGGTCTGTCGGAGCGGGGTCACGGCCGCTCAACACCACACCGACAACACCAGCTGTCCGGTCTGTCGGAGCGGGGTCACGGCTGCCCAACATCACACCGACAACACCAGCTGTCCGGTCTGTCGGAGCGGGGTCACGGCCGCTCAACATCACACCGACAACACCAACTGTCCGATCTGTCGGAGCGGGGTCACGGCTGCTCAACCCTTACCGACAACACCAGCTGTCCGGTCTGTCGGAGCGGGGTCACGGCTGCTCAACACCACACCGACAACACCAGCTGTCCGATCTGTCGGAGCGGGGTCACGGCTGCTCAACACCACACCGACAACACCAACTGTCCGATCTGTCGGAGCGGGGTCACGGCTGCTCAACCCTTACCGACAACACCAGCTGTCCGGTCTGTCGGAGCGGGGTCACGGCCGCTCAACACCACACCGACAACACCAGCTGTCCGGTCTGTCGGAGCGGGGTCACGGCTGCTCAGCACCACACCGAAACCAGCTGTCCGGTCTGTCGGAGCGGGGTCACGGCCGCTCAACACCACACCGACAACACCAGCTGTCCGGTCTGTCGGAGCGGGGTCACGGCTGCTTAGCACCACACCGACAACACCAGCTGTCCGGTCTGTCGGAGCGGGGTCACGGCTGCTCAACATCACACCGACAACACCAACTGTCCGGTCTGTCGGAGCGGGGTCACGGCCGCTCAACACCACACCGACAACACCAACTGTCCGATCTGTCGGAGCGGGGTCACGGCTGCTCAACCCTTACCGACAACACCAGCTGTCCGGTCTGTCGGAGCGGGGTCACGGCTGCTCAACACCACACCGACAACACCAGCTGTCCGATCTGTCGGAGCGGGGTCACGGCTGCTCAGCACCACACCGACAACACCAGCTGTCCGGTCCGTCGGAGCGGGGTCACGGCCGCTCAACATCACACCGACAACACCAGCTGTCCGGTCTGTCGGAGCGGGGTCACGGCTGCTCAGCACCACACCGACAACACCAGCTGTCCGGTCTGTCGGAGCGGGGTCACGGCCGCTCAACATCACACCGACAACACCAGCTGTCCGGTCTGTCGGAGCGGGGTCACGGCTGCCCAACATCACACCGACAACACCAGCTGTCCGGTCTGTCGGAGCGGGGTCACGGCCGCTCAACACCACACCGACAACACCAGCTGTCCGGTCTGTCGGAGCGGGGTCACGGCTGCCCAACATCACACCGACATCAGCTGGACACTCGGTGGCCGAGGACTTGGCTCTTGATCGTTAGGACACGCTGCTTACACCCGTGCTCTGTTTCCATACGGAGGTTATCTGCACGGAATACAATCGTATCAAGTTCGTAACACACCCGTGATAGCCACTGGCGAGTCCCGTCACCACCCGCGTGAGTGCTGTATAAAGTCAGAATATCAAGTCAACTACGGAACCTAAAGAAAGAAATCGTCGACGAGTACCAGAAGGCGACACCGGTCCGGAGTCGGCTAGCCGGGGAGAGCGGAAGGACTGACAGCAGTGCGGACCCTGGCCCACTTACGTCCGTGCCGTAGATGAGGAAGTCGGCCGTCAGGTAGTGGCAGGTGATTTTCATGTCGCGGTGCTCGGGGTCCGGGAACAGGCGGCCCTCCCGCTCCTCTGATTCGCCCGACTCGGATTCCAGCTGGGACACACGGTCGCGTCAGCCGATCCGGGATCATCCTCGGGTCACGTGACCGTCCACCACGGGCTTCAACAAATACTGACGCAGACCTTGGAGCTGGCCATACCTTGTTTGCATCCTTACATGCGCAAGCTAGACATCTAGACGGCCAGCCCGGGGTTTTACTGAGTGCACAATGTAGACTGCGCGAACAGTGATGGAGAGTATTCTCTGAACCTTTCCAGGCAAAAGAAAATGACACTGTGATATGCATCTATCCTACGTATTGCTAACTCCCGCCTTCGCTTACTACGCACCTGGATACGCCATGCCGACAATCAACGCTTGAAATGCTATTCAGGACGCAGAAAGCCGACTGATATGGACGTAAAAAACGCGTAGCGGAGATGATCAAAGCCAAATATCCAAACAAAATTTTTGCCCGTTTTGTCTTGACCGTGACAGTGGGCGCCGCCCCCTCACAGCCAACTCGGGAGCCACCTAGCGCCGACCCGCAAAACCTCTGTTAGCTCCCGCTTTGATGCTTTGCGGAAGCTCGCTCCTTTCCCGCTCTAACCCAACCACACTCTCCAACTGAAGATAGCCTAAGGCTGAAACTTTTTGAGTGCCTGTCTCTCTGCTCGGCTGGCGCCGCTTCGTCTTCTTCGCCTCCAGGGCACATCGCACATTCATCATCTGCACATGATGGGGCCTACCGGTCACTTTCAACACAAATACAATCCAGCGCGTTGGAAAAATTACAAAATTCGTGTCACGAAAACCTGAACATCACATTAAACAGTCCTAAGTGAACATTGACGTTTGGATGCGCGTGACTCTCTGCCCTAGGACCCAGCAGGTAGGAGGTCCGGGGACCGTGCTACTGACCACATGCAGCTGAATGACGCCGTCGCAGAGGACCGAGGCGTAGTCGGCGTTCAGCCGGACCGACTCCACCGTTCCCAGGTACTCCCTGTCCCGCACCAGCTCCGGCGACCCTGCGGCGGCGGCCAGCACCCAGCCTAGGTCAGCCGGGCGGCAGACGGGGTGGCAGACCCCGCTCCCCGCCCCAGCCAGTCAGCCGGGCGGCAGACGGGGTGGCAGACCCCGCCCCCCGCCCCAGCCAGTCAGCCGGGCGGCAGACGGGGTGGCAGACCCCGCCCCCCGCCCCAGCCAGTCAGCCGGGCGGCAGACGGGGTGACAGTCCCCGCTTCCCACCCCAGCCCAGGTTAGCCGGGGCGGCAGACGGGATGACAGCCCCCGCACCCCGCCCCAGCCCAGGTCAGTCGGGGCGGCAGACAGGGTGACAGACCCCGCTCTCCGCCCCAGCCCAGGTCAGACAGCCCAGGCCCAGGCAGACGGTGGGCCGTTCGGAAGACGGCCGAAGTTCGGATCTCGCTGGTGCACGTCTGACAGCCAGTGCATATGTGCATTACCGGGCCAGAACAGTCCCACTTGAATGGCCTAATTTGTCGGCGGTGGAAGAACGTACGGAGGCAGACAAATGCTTCATCCCTCTCATCGAATGAACCAGCCTGGTCACCGGGTCACAGCGCGACGTAAGAGTCCCCGTCAGGACAAGCGTGGTGCGCGTCTCACCGCCCTCTCCGATGAGGTAGATCCAGGCGCGGTTGTTCATGCCGACAATCAGGTGGAAGGGCCCGATGCCGAGGAAGCTGGGCTCCACGTCCACGGTAAAGGGCGTACTCTCCTCCTGTCGACCGGCCAGGCCAGGTGACCGTCAGCCCCCGTCGATCACAGGTGCCGTGCGCACCACAGAGGACACACACTGATACGGCCGAACGCTGAGCTGAACAATATTACACACTGGGTAACCAACGATCTTGAACGGAGAGCTCATGCCAACTTAATACGGTTTCTCAACTAATTGGCACCCATCGACGCCAGACACAGGCCAGACGCATAGCACATCTCTTATGCCGCCCACATCTGTGCTCGTGACGTCACTAAAATGTTCCAGTCGGCGGTGGTCGGTTACTCATAAGTCCTAATGTTCATCGATGTGGGGCAACGAACAGACAAACATCCCATCATCAATGAGCACGCCTCTCTGCGTCCTCTGTGACCGCTGCGGAGAAGCTGGACGCTGCCGCCGGCAACCGGGACGGGACGGGCCGCTCGGCCGCCGCCCGAAGACGGCTCGACCGCGCGCGGCGCGCCACCCTGCGCCCCTCATGGCCGGCAGCCGCGGCCGCGCTCACCTTGCGCAGGTAGTCCATGATGGTGACCTCGAGCAGGCTGGTGAGCACGGCGATGCGGGTGCCGGCGGCGCCGCCCAGGATCGGCAGCGAGCTCAAGTAGACGTGCAGGTTGCCAGAGCCGCAGCCGACGGCCAGCAGCTGGCCGTCGTCACTCCACTCCACCTGGTCGGCGCTTTTCTCGTCGTCCAGCGACAGCACTGACCAGATCTCCTTCATCTCCTGCAGCTCGTGGATCTTTACCCTGCCGGCCGCCACTCCCAGCCGGTCAGGCGCATGCGAGGGATTCAGGCACCATACGACACGATGCTGAAGCGGTGACCGGCACACAACTTACTATGTCACAGCACGACACGCTTCCCCAATATTCTATAGTGGATGGCCTAAGTAGCCGATGCGCTCCATAAAACTAAAGCCGCAGGCCCTGTTATATGAGCATGGCCGCCGTGGCCCGACAAGAGAGCGCAGGGGAGCGGCAGCAGAGGTCAGGTGAGGGGAGGCCCTAGCACCGAGGGAGGGCTGGGGCAGAGGTCAGGTGAGGGGAGGCCCTAGCACCGAGGAAGGGCTGGGGCAGGGCAGGGGAGCGGAGGCAGAGGTCAGGTCAGGGGAGGCCCCAGCAACGAGGGAGGGGTGGGGCAGAGGTCAGGTCAGGGGAGGCCCCAGCACCGAGGGAGGGGTGGGGCTGGGCAGAGGAGCGGCGGCAGAGGTCAGGTGGGGGGAGACCCAGCACCGAGGAAGGGCTGGGGCAGGGCAGGGGAGCGGCGGCAGAGGTCAGATGAGGGGAGGCCCCAGCACCGAGGGAGGTGTGGGGCAGGGCAGGGGAGTGGCGGCAGAGGTCAGGTGAGGGGAGACCCCAGCACCGAGGGAGGGGTGGGGCAGAGTCAGGTGAGGGGAGACTCCAGTACCGAGGAAGGGCTGGGGCAGGGCACGGGAGCGGCACTGACGTGTTGTCTCCACAGCTGGCTGCCTTGCTCAGCGCCAGGTTAACGGCGATGTCATTTAGCTGCGTCTTGTGGTTCTTGACTTGGAACAGCTCTGTGCCGATTTCCTTCATATGGCTGGAGATTGCCACGAAGTAGCCACTGGAGAAACCGAGCAGGATGTAGCCGTCGCCAAACCTGCGGTGGGCAGCGCCGGGCGTCAGGAGGGGACGCGGATCGACGGACGGCGGGGCTGCACGCCCGCCCGGCGTACTCAGATCACCCGGCCAGCACCTATTGTACGGCATCTATTGGCTGAGAGACCCCTGTCACGTTGGTCTACCACACATGTGTGCAAAGGTTTCAGCATGCTTCGAAGAATTCTGCTGTGATAATACTATTCGAAAGAGTTTAATTGATATTGTTCCTGGCTGGCGACAGACTTCACCTAGTGCTTGCAGCGTTCGCAGCTCGAAAAGCAGCATGGTGAGGTTGCCTGTGTGTCCATAGTGCACGAAATATTCACATCTCTTCGACGAGCAATAGAACAGCATGCCTTTGTACAAATGAGCGGTACAACGTAAAGGGGCGATTGCGTAAGCAAACAATTGGCAATGGCCAAGGACAGAACAGGCTTACTAACTGTCCGCAGTCATATAGATTTTAAATGAAAACATGCCGTACTGGTGTTTCTCAAAGCTTTGATACTGAGTGATCCGTAACCTCTCAAAACCAAGCAGTTCCTTTGCGATCCGCACTGAGCTTGTTGCATGGCTCAATAAAAGCTGACAAGATCCTACGCAAAGGCAGATTCGCCATGAAAATTTCTGAAAAGTCCAGAACAAAACAAACATCAAAGATGGATTGCCGCTAACTTTGGCACGCTAAACCGGCATATGCTACTAGATGCACAAAACAACACACATTCAAGGGAGTGTTCCACATGTATGTGGGGCTCTGGGCTGAAATAGCCGTTTTGAAGACATTTCGGTGCTGTTCACCATCCTGCCCTTCTGAAGGCCTAAGCCCGTTTAGTTTCTGAGCTACACGCCCGCGTAAATGGGGAAATGTATATCGGGGAAAGTATTTCAGTCACATTGGCATTCATGACGTCATAACAACGTCACTCAAATCCGCATGGCTTATGTTCCATAAGCCATGCGGCGATTAAAGTCAAGAAAAATATAATTGTGGAAGCATTCATTTCAGGCGTTCGTGAGCGCCATTTCCAAATATAATGGCCGTCAGTTGGCTCTCAATCAATGTTGCGCAAGGCACGATGACGCAGCCAAACCATGATGCACAGAAAAGTATATTTACTGAAGGGAGACTTATGCTGTCTAGAGCAGTCTTTTCCACTTAAAAAGCATACCAACAGTTATAAGTCAGCTTATTTCAACATATCTGACGTTTGCTTCAATATCTTCAAAGGCGAAACATTCCCTTTCAGTGACAACATGAGCACAAATACACAAAAGCATGCCTTAATCAGCAAAACAAATGCACACGAACACCCAGAGGCAACGGAAGGCCAGAGATGTGACGGTGGCGCCGCTGCGGATGTAGCTGAGTGTGCGGTGCGGCAGAGGACGGGACGGCCACTCAGTCAGCGGGAGCGTGCAGATTGCCGGATGCCCGCCGCCAGCCGGCTCTCACCACTCGTAGCGGTTGATGTTGCCATATCGCGACTGAAAGGCCAACTCTACCGGGTTGTCCGGGTCCGTCAGGCTGTACAGAAAGAGGTTTTTCTTGACCAGCACTAGACTGACCTGCGACAGAGTGCGTGCCATAGAGATAGCTGCGCTAGACGTGGGTCAGCAACAGAGTGCGGACAGTCCACCGACCACAGACGTGGGTCAGCGACAGAGTGTGGACAGTCCATCGGTCACAGATGTGGGTCAGGGACAGGGTGCGGACAGTCCACCGATCACAGACGTGGGTCAGCAACAGGGTGTGGACAGTCCACTGATCACAGATGTGGGTCAGCGACAGGGTGCGGACAGTCCACCGATCACAGACGTGGGTCAGCGATAGGGTGCAGACAGTCCACCGATCACAGACGTGGGTCAGCGACAAAGCGTGGACAGTCCACCGACCACAGACGTGGATCAGGGACAGGGTGTGGACAGTCCACTAATCACAGACGTGGGTCAGCGACAGGGTGTGGAAAGTCCACCGATCACAGACGTGGGTCGGCGACAGGGTGTGGACAGTCCACCGATCACAGATGTGGATCAGGGACAGGGTGTGGACAGTTCATCGATCACAGACGTGGGTTAGCGACAGGGTGTGGATATTCTACCGATCACAGCGTACCAGACCTGACGGAGCCAACTGTCTCGTCCCCGAGAGAGAGCTGAGGAGTGTGCTCTCGCTGCGGTCAGCGGCCAGGTCAGCGGACCGCGCCACAACACTCAACACCAGCCCACCGTCACGGCTCTACTGCACATGTGACGGCCAAACAGCGTGTCCCTTGGCTAGAGAGGACCGAACAGCACGCCAGGGCCGTAATCTCTCGTGTTACAGTGAATACTTATCATCATGGGCATGGTCAGCTAAAATATCGGCGATACACAAGAAGGACAATGAGCTTGGTCGTACCAACACTGAAGGTTCACAGTCTAGCAGTCTAATTAACAGTCAGCTAGCGTCACGTAGAATCATTCTCGTCAAGAGTCGGCTGTCGGGGACAATAAGCCTAACAATATCGGACAGCAGCAAGGTCGGGATGGCAACAGGCGTGGCGCCGGTTCGCCACGGCCCAACAGGGCGAGCACGGCTTCCGCAGGACAAATTGCTGTCACCTGGAAATCCGACGTGACAGTGGGCTCACTGCGCACCGCAGCAGGTCCCAACCGCACTGTAGAGGGTCCCAACCACACTGTAGAGGGTCCCAACCGCACTGCAGAGGGTCCCAAGCACACCACAGCGGGTTCCAGTCATACCGCGGTGGGCCCCAACCACACCACTGCGAGCCCCAACCACACCACTGCGGGTCCCAACCACACCACTGCGGGTCCCAACCGCACCACTGCGGGTCCCAACCACACCACAGCGGGTTCCAGTCATACCGCGGTGGGCCCCAACCACACCACTGCGAGCCCCAACCACACCACTGCGGGTCCCAACCACACCACTGCGGGTCCCAACCGCACCGCGGCGGGTCCCAACCACAACGCAGCGGGTCCCAACCACAACGCAGCGGGTCCCAACCACAACGCAGCGGACCCCAACCGCACCGCAGCTGGCCCCAACCGCGCCGCGGCCGGTCCCAGCCACACCGCAGCGGGGCCCAACCATACCGCAAGACGCGTCATTCTACACAGCAGTTCAAAGCCTGGCGGGCGACAGCGAGATGGCAGAGCTAGAAGACGACCTGAGTGAGCGAGCACAGCAGGCATGGACGGTCAGCTCTGGCCGATGGCCGGCTCCTCCGCAGAGCAGCCTCGACCGGTCCCCTAACAACGAAAACGCTACTGCGTACGACAGAGCAGACAGCGCCGACAACGAGTTACCATTCGTGGGCCACCAGTTTGCCGTAAGACTGCTTGAAGGTGAGTTCGGTCGGATCTTTAGCCGGCTCGACCAAATAGTTGAACAGCAGCAAGGACTTTCTGTCCCCGATGAAGCTGATCTGGCGGGTGCAGGATGGGGATGGCGGGGTCAGTGAGGCCGCTGAGAGGTCGACCGGCGTCATCATGTTACGCTCACACGGCTGAGAGACGGTCAGCACTGGAACATCCCCAACTCAGTCACAAACCAACCGGACTCGCAACTACGTCAGGACTCGAAACCCGTGACAGGATCTAGCCCGCGTTCCCCAGACACTCGCGCCGTCAGTGCGTGCCCCCGGCCACCTCCGGACCCTGGCCGCCGGACCAGCCGGGGCTCCCAGTCAGGTCCGCAACCGGTCTGCAGCCCGCCCGCGGCCCGCACCGTGTTCTCGCCGTCGCTGGCGCCGTCCATCTTCATCTCGGAGAACTGGATCTGGCTGGGCTCGGCTCGCAGCGTGGCCAGGCGCATCGTGTCGCCGAATTCGTTGCTGATGCTCAGCGTCTTGTCCTCGCCGCCCAGCGCCAGCAGGTTCTGCTTGTTCCAGGCGCCACACGTGATGCGACGCGTGTGCTTGCCCATGATCGGGATGCGCCTGGAGCGGTCAGTGAGCCACGCGTCACTGACAGAGCCTCTGTCCAGGGCGACGCCGCACACCGCCGACGGCCCGGGCGCGCGCAGCAGCAACACCCAGCCGCTGTCTGGTGTCGACGCCAGCTCGGCAATTAGAACGGCGCCGGACGACTGGAGATCAGGTGAATGATTTTATATTGCAGTTTTCCAACAACCGTCGACTGAGCAGTCGTATGCCTATCAAAACCGAAGTCTGCAGACGTGAGACAGCGATAGCCTACCCACCGAGAGGTTTGGACTGAGTGGTGCCCCCCCCCCCCCGCACTCATTCCTTTCACGGAGGGTCTGTCCGTAAGTCGGTGTCGGCCCACCCACCGGGAGGTTTGATGGTTGTAAATCATGAGGTTGCCCTTGGCCGTGCCGACGGCCAGGTATGCAGAGGAGCGGGACCAGATGAGCGAGCTGAGAGGGTCGCGCAGCCCAGAGTCCAGCTGGCGCACGCGGGTCTTGCTGCTATAGTTGGCATCCCAGAGGATGATGGCCGAGTTCTTCTCGTTGATCACGGCGAGAATGTCGCCGTTCATGTCCCAGCCGAAGCCAGTGCAGTTGCTGCCGGAGGCCGGAGGGTCAGCAAGAAACACAGGCCGTGTTTACCGCGGACTACCCACGTACGTTCGCCACAAGAAGAGCACTTTACGTTCGAGACGGACGAACGGCGCGCGTCAGAGACGGAAGGACGTGGGTGGTATGCTGTGTAAACTGGGTCGCGCCGTGAGGGGTCGGTGCCGCGTGTGCCAGGGTGGAGAGGAGACGAAAGTGGAAGTGGAGGGGGAGGCGGACAAGCCCGGCGCGCGCCAGTCCCTTCCGCTGAGATACGCACCCGGGCAGCGCGATCTGGTCCACCATGGTGCCCATGCGGTCATATATGTTGACCATCTGGTTGTAGCCAGTCGTCGCCATGTAGGTGCCGTGACGCCGCTGCCAGGCGAAGAAGATGCCGCCCGGACCGTGCGGGTTGTGCAGCGTGTAGAGGCGCTGCAACAGGTGGGAACACCAGATCAACGATTGGGCATTAATGGGCGTTAATATGTATGAAAACAGTGGAATGATATTGACGTTACTTCGAATGGTCATTTGAATGATATCTTATCACCCAACAGTCTTTACGGAAGTGGAGCATTCCTGCTTCAGTCTGGTTCGAGCTTTACAAGAATGAATCATTGGAATCCACGACTGCCTCTAAGTATTCGTGAGGATAGAAAGACATGCCGTAAGCCAGATAAGCGGCGTACAGTTTCTTACAGCAAAATATGACGTTGAGCGAAATGTCATGTCATACGCATTCACGAAAATAAAGCACCCGGTGTTGCGCAGCAAGTCCAGCAAACACAAGCCATATCTTCACAAAACGAAGCCCCGAAAACATGTAATCACAACGGCCGTCTGCCGCATCTGGCCGCCCGTGAAATTCCTGATAGAACAATGGGGAGCTTCGCAACACTTGACTGTGTAGAGATTGCTAATGTGAGCCACTAACGCTGGTGTAGATCGGCGCAAAGAATGCGTGTAAAGTTCGTGCTTGCACACTCTCATACGATGTCGATCGTTATGATACCGGGCTTTTGGGAAAGTTCTGCGAGTGTTCCAGTCAGAATTGGTTGCCTGCAGCTTGTGATTTTCGCGGGTGGTGACAAGCAAGATGTTGTTGATATCTTTGGTGTCTCAAGACGCAGTCAGCAGCTGAGGCCATATGGCGTCGCGTGCTTCACGCAGTGACGGCGAGAGCGGCCCCCGCCGATAACCCAGCCCGGCACCTGCTTTGCCAGCCGCGCAGCTTGACCGGTACGTGCCGAGACATTGCCCATACATCCCCTGACTGCTGCATTGACTGTCAATGCTCCAGGAAAATTATAAGCATGTTGGAAAATCGACTTTGTCCTGGGGGTTTTAGGACACGCCTAAATTGATTTAATCAAAATGAGAAAGATGATAAATACCTGTTACACTTAATCCTAAAAACGAAACAACTCTCGGATCAGGCATAAGGCATCAGCAGATCACAAAACTGGCTGGCCAGCTTGCGGCCGGCCAGCCGCCGACCCGAAGACCGGATAGCCGCAACTAGCATTGCCTAGTCGAACCCAGTCGTTCATACTCCGGTATCTCTGACTGATTCCGGCTGAAGTGATCTCGGTGGCCAGGTGTGGAGCCGATTAATACACGTCCGCTAACCAATAATTTTCCGGTTGCTTTTGTGAAATCAGCTCCCACGCACTACATCCACCAAGAATGGATCACGTGGTTGGCTTGAGATCAACAAATAAGCTCACTGGCCAGCGGGGCCTAAGGGCCCCGTTGGCCAGAAAAATGAACAGTGCAGCAACAATGGTCGCATGGACCGTTTCATTTACTGATACCAAACGCGCCGACAACCACCAACCAGTTTGTTGACTTTTTAGCGAAAGTGGCGGGGCCATGAATTCCATGCACTAACAAGTAATTGCCGTATGCAAGTGATGCTTCATAATAAATGGTGTTGCAACGACCAAGCTGTCATCCGCGCAGTGGCAGTTCGAAAACTGAACGCAGTAACACTGAACACTGCAGATACCATAACAGGAATGCATTCGTGAGGCCTTAGCCCACGGGCGCACCCGCACTGCCCAGCAGCCCCTGTGGACAACGCTGCCTTTACTGCCTCCCCGCCAGCCGCGTATGCTGCCGCGAAGGTGGCTACCCCAGTAACGGCTAAAACAGGACAGTCGGCCGAGCCAGCCGAACCACACAACCCACCTTGTCCATGGCCATGGTGACTGATGTGCCCACCCCTCACCGCTGGCGGCTGCCTGCAGAGCTGGACACCGCAGCCCGGCGGACAGGCACTGCCACGCGTCCGCCGGCTGCCGGCACCTTTCCAACTGTGGAATGCCGCCCGGCCGCCACCGATCGATAATGACACGGGTTCGAATCCCAGGAACTGCCCGACTTTCTGATTAATGGATGTTACGCGCTAGGGGCGCAGGGCGAAATATCAGCCACCAGCATTGCTCCAGTAACGTGGAAGAGCAAATTCGCTATTGCTATTCAAAGACCAGGCGTCCGAAAAAAGGTGGATTGTGCCCGTGTGAGGCATTACGATGTGCGTCAGTTGCATGCGTGTACGTAAATTCTCATGGATCTCCCCTTTGCCCGAATACTTTTAGCAGCAAGATGAATGATGTTATTATGGATCATGAGCGGGCGCACAGTCACAGCCTTGGCAAAGGGGAGCACAGGGTTGACAAAGGATCCCTGATAGTAAGCCCCCCCGCCCCAAAAGAAATAGCAAGATATCGTCCATTTGTTAATGAGAGATTGTTATAAATACTTATGGGTTTGTGCGTATATAGAAATATATACGTGCATATATATATAAATATATATATATATATATATATATATATATATGTTTATATATACGTATATATTTCTATATACGCACATACCCATAAGTATTTATAACATTCCCTCATTAATTCACATATAGAAATATTCCCTGTCCATTCCCTCATTCCCCCATATATAGAAATATATACGTATATATATATATATATATATATATATATATATATACAAATATACACAACGCATTTTCCGTCATCTGTTGTTGGAATAGATGCCAGACGCTACCACAAGATCAATCCTGTCGTAGTCATTCCGTCAAACACACTGAAAAAGTCGTGCAGTAAACAACTGCATGATATGAATTGCTGGCGCCCATCAGTTTACAATGGCCCAGTGAACGCTTTTCAAACCGATACAACTCAGAGACTTTGTCAGAATTTTTAACTGGGTTATGCAGAAATAGGCAGAGTTTAACATTTGGTAAAGAGCGATAAATGATACGAACTATTTGACGTAGTTTTGAGCATGCGCCTCACATATCTTAGCAGCAAAAAACTCGACACCAGGCGTTGCAGTCTCCGCAGGCTTCACAACGCCGGATTTGTGGCCAATATCAAGTTGTGGTCAACTGTTGACCACAACAAAGACCGTACATTTACAGATCCCCTGGGCATATATTTTGCCCGAGCGATGTTAAGATTGATGATAATAACGAATTGACCTTTACAGTGCCGCAAAGAAGTGGTGGAATCTAGTGGTGGAACTGGCAAAGTTAAGGTAGAATCTCTATTTTCTGTGTTGCTGTAAATATAATTTGTCCAGAGGTCAGCCTCAAAGTTGAAAAGATTTTCTCAGCCTGATCTTTCAGCTGTACGAATTAATTTTGAGACATTCCAAAATATTTTACGTCTCTCTCCCTCTCTCTCTCTCTCTCTCTCTCTCTCTCTCTCTCTCTCTCTCTCTCTCTCTCTCTCCTCTCCTCTCTCTCTCTCTCTCCTCTCTCTCTCTCTCCTCTCTCTCTCTCCCCTCTCTCTCTCTCTCTCTCTCTCTCTCTCCTCTCTCTCTCTCTCTCTCTCTCTCTCTCTCTTCTCTCTCTCTCTCTCTCTGCCACCTGAGATTGCTGGCATGCCGCTGGGGCTTTTTACGACACACCCAGCCTCTTAGGCTATATGGCGTCGCTTGCCTCTCACCCTGGCAGCAACGGCAGGCACCGCGGAGAATCGAACCTCTAGTCTCCCAGGCGCGCAGTGGTTAATGCAGGCGCGGTAACTACTACATTGCCAGCATCCAGCGTGCAGGCTTACCCTTTTGATGGTATTTGTTTCACTAATCGATTCGGCAGAAGAGTAAGCGTTCTAAGGCAAACATAAAATGACCCTGTGTGTTTTTGGACTAATTTCGACTCACTCCAGTTAACACTCACGAGACCCTTATTACCGGGAAAAACACCACTTGAGTGGAACACTACGGGGCCCATTCTTGTTCCTGATCAAGGGCTGAAGGGACATTCTGTCCCACCGCAGTGTGTCTTCCGGCTGTTATTCTGGCGACACATGGCGGGATCCCTGGCCGATCCGGAGGCCCTTGGAGGGATACATCAAATCACAATGGTCCGCTCCTTGACGCAGGGTCTCCCTATCCGCGTAGTTGATCTCGGACTGACGCAGGAATCTTTACTGACGCAACAACATCCCTGATCTCCGCAGGTGGTTCAATAAGTGGCACACTGACTTCAGTTCGGCTTAACGGGCCCATGCTGGCACAGGGTTGGAGGACCCATCGTTCGGTACTGGGGGCACAGAACCCTTCTATTGCTTCAATGTGAGCAGTCATCATAAGTTATGCTTCCTTTGACTGTCAGAGGGCCCCAACCCACTCAAGAGACCCTCTGTCACACGTGCCCCGTCTCCGTCCCTGTTGAGCAAATCTTCGCCCGACCGATTCGAGACCGGCTGTTTACTCAGAATGCCCTGTTAGACACTGCGGGCCCCTGAACGAGACAGGAGCTCCGACCACCGTAAATCGCGGGGCCGACGTTGTCCCTGCATGAGAAGTGGGCCCTAAAGCTCAGACCAGCACGGAGCCGACTGTTCGTTGTTGGTGATCTCTGGCCGACATAGAGGAACGCCCTAACCCAGCGGTTCCATTTCGGTGCAAGAGGTCCTCTTACTGACATTTGAGATCAGGGCATTATGTGCGGGGGTCCTAAAGGTGAACTATAGCCCGTCCTTCGGACCTTCAGCCCTCCAATCGGGCCCCTGATCTTTGGCCTCGAGAGAACCTTCGGCCTCTCCTCGGGCCCCTAAAACACCGCTCCGACTCGGTGGCATTTGTAGCTACAGGACCCGTCAGGCACTGCGGCCCCTGACTGACACAGAGCCCCTCACTATGTGAAGGACCCCAAGCATTACATGTCGCGGGCCCGGCCTCGTTCCTGCTTGGACAATGGGTCTCAAGGGCACAAACGAGCATGGAGCCGGCTGGTCGGCGTTCGTGGTCTCTGGCCGACTTAGACTCCCGCATTGTCTAAGGGGTTCTTCAGACGGTGTAAGAGGACCTCTCACTGATATCCCAGGTCGTGACTCTACGGGCCGCGATTCTTTATGTGGCCTTCAGCCAGTCCTTCGGGCCCTTATGCCCTTAAACTGGACTTTTCGTCGTCGGTTTCGGTGGGCCGCCCGAGCCCCTCTTCGAGCCTCATCGAACACTTTCTTTGGTCGGCTTGGAGTCCTTGCAAGCACAGGACCCTCTGTATTGCCCTTTGGGCCGCTGACAGGTACAAGGAACCCGTGAACCAGTGTAAACCACTTTCCCTGGCTTTGTAGCTGATTGATAAGTGGGCCCTAAGGACCATACCGACACGAAGGCGACTGCATGGCGCTGGTGGCGCCTGACTGACATATGGCCCGTACCGACTCAGTGTTCCGATCGGAACAAAGGGCCATCTGGCTGTTATTTGAGGCCCCGTCCCCACAGGCCGGGCCCCTAAACAAGACTCTGGCCGGCCTCTTAGATCCTCCAATCAGGCCCCTAATTGCCGGACCCGGCGGGCCCTCTAGGCTTTTCAGACCTCCTCGAACACTACCTTTGGCCGACCAGGGGTCCCCTGACAATACAGGGTCCCCGTTAGTGGTTGTGAAGCCCTGACGGACGCTGGGGCCCCGACCAATGTAAATCGCCGGCCTGACTGCTCCTGCCAGGGATATGGGCCCTCAGGCCCATGCCGACCCGGAGGAGACTGCGTTACTAGTGGTGTTTGACCGACATACAGGCCCTCATCGACTCAGGGGCCCCTGATCAGCGCGCAGGGCCCTCTGGCCGACATTGCAGTGTCCGGCCCTGCCGCTGGGTCCCTGAATGCGACCTCTGTCATGCCTTTCGGATAATCGAGCTCTTAATGTTTGATTCCAAGCGGCCTTTCAGGCCCCTCGGAACCCAAGCGGCGGGGTGGCACCTTCCCCCCGCACCCCCTGCCTGCGCTAATGATCATGAGGCAGATAAATCCTTGGAAAATATCTCTTTAGTACCAGGAATTATTGTCATAGCAGCCTGGGACTAGTAGAGCTGACTGGTGTATATTCTATCAATGTAGGTATATGTACTGGTGCCGTGGCCGAGGCCGTGCCCTAAGAATTGCCCTAATAGCACACAAATTGCCGCGCAGATCCAACACGACCGAGGCGCGCACAAACGGAGCTGGGTACACGTGGTGGGCGGCGCGGCGTCACACACACCGCGGCGGTGACTTGCTTGTCGTCGCCTGCCTCCTTCTTCTGCTTGGCGGCTTTGCTGGCCTGCCGGGCATGCTCATCGGCCTTGGCCACGGCCGGCACCGCTTGTCGTTTGATTGAGCCCGGGAACGCGTACAGGTTGCCTGCGGAGCGCAGCACAGAGTTCGCACGGAGGCGGCGGACTCCACTGAGGGCACGGATTCACGAGACAGCGTAACGGTGCTGTCTCGTTACAGGCGACGAGGCGCCGGTAATGAGGACGCGAGGGACTGGATGCCGCACGATTCGACGGAAGAGGGCATGGGATATGTGAACGAGTATACGGATGGATGGACACCGGTATGGAGCATACGAATGATCGGACATCGGTAGGCGACATACGGATGATCGGACATCGGCAAGGACATACGGATGACCGGACAGCGGTAGGGGATATACGGATGACTGGACGCCGGTATGGAGCATACGGATGATCGGACATCGGTATGCGACATGCGGATGAACGGACATCAGTAGGAGACATGCGGATGACCGGACATAGGAAGGGGACATACGGATGACTGGACATCGGTAGGGATATACGGATGAACGGACATAGGGGCATACGGATGAACGGACATCGGTAGGGACATGCGGATGACCGGACATCGGTGGGAGACATGCGGATGACCGGACATCGGTAGGGGACATACAGATGACCGGACATCGGTAGGGACATACGGATGACCGGACAGCGATCGGTAGGGGACATACGGATGACCGGACATCGGTAGGGCATATACGGATGACCGGACATCGGTAGGGGATATACGGATGACCGGGCGCCGGTAAGGGATATACGGATGACCGGACATCGGTAGGGGACATGCGGATGACCGGACATCGGTAGGGGACATACAGATGACCAGACATCGGTAGGGGACATACGGATGACCGGACATCGGTAGGGGACATACAGATGACCAGACATCGGTAGGGGACATACGGATGATCGGATGCCGGTAAGGGATATACGGATGACCGGACATCGGTAGGGGACATGCGGATGACCGGACATCGGTAGGGGACATACAGATGACCAGACATCGGTAGGGGACATACGGATGACCGCACATCGGTAGAGGATACACGGATGACCGGACATCGGTAGGGGATACACGGATGATCGGGTGCCGGTAAGGGATATACGGATGACCGGACATCGGTAGGGGACATACGGATGACCGGACATCAGAAAGCAGGCAATGACCATGCCGGGAGCACGGCACGGGCGATGGGTACATGACGGTATGGAGCTCGGTAATGAACGTACGGTGCTTATGGCACCAGTGACGAGCGATGGGGACTTGATACCGGTAATGACGACATGAGGACACAGCATCGGTGCTGAATACGTGAGATACGCCGGGTTTGACAAAGCGGTACGACACCGATGAACTGGATGTGGAGACAGGGGAGGAAAATTTAGAGGAAATTATTCCCCTTCTCAATCTTTTTCTGAATTTACGCAGAAAATATGCATTTTGAACGGAAAATGTGAAACACAACATTGGTTTCGGTGAAAAGTGGACATTGGCTTAGAAATGTGGAATGCAAATCAATCAGAATGAACCTTCATGGCATAATCAGAATTTGCATAAGAATATAGGACGTCAAGGTTGGAGGCTAGACATGGTGGCTAACTTCTGATACAACGCAGACGGATTTGTGGTACGCAATGCGCAAAATTCTCGAGGATAAAAACGAACCGCTTGGAGACCCGATGTCTCATAGTTTAAAAGCTGCGAAACGTCGATAACTAACAAGGAACACTTTATTTTTATGGTTCAGGTTTTGCGCTTTTCCGGTTATATATCTAAAATATACTGAAGCAGTGTTAAAATAATGAGGACAGGAGATCAAAGCTGGTTTTCGAACGGCACTTAGTGCGCCTGCCGATGTACACGATTGGTCGCCCGGCAACTTCTATGACGCAGCTTTGTCGTCAGCAGAGATAATGTCATAGCACTGGTCAATCACGCAAACCTGAACGCGGCTTACACCCTACGAAGTTAATAAATTAAACCATTGTTCTGTCTTCTTTCGTTTATACGAGCATAGAATGAACAGACCAACCACCTCGTGGTGCATTTGGTCAATCCGCGTGTCAATGCAGCTGAGATTAGCAGGCTAAAAATTGTTTTTTTTTTTAGTTGCATGTGCAGACGGCCAGGGGTGGTGCCAGTCATTGACCGGGAACCATAGAAAGCATGAGGTCGTTAAGCCACCACGGCACTTGACAAAAAGTTGGGTGAGAAAATATCCGTTTGATAACTGGCATTCTCCTAAATGATCAGTGCTATGTAAGCTCTTTTCGCGCCTTGCGCCGTGCCACCCTAGTGCATGGAGGCGCGGGAAAAAGGGAGCGGGGCCGGGACTGGGACACACAACTCTCTGAAAACTGCCTCTTTGGCCCTGTGGGCGTCGACTGGAAGTAAATAATTCAAATGACTATCAGCCCCTCCCCTCTGCACTTGGACCGAGGTGACTTGCTTTAAACCGGTGGAAATGTCTTATCCCAGTATCAAAGCTTCTTCTCAGCACAGTGCATACTTTCCTTCGGGACCCATTGGCCTTAACAGTGTACAGACGCGGTAGGCCCAGTGGCAAAAGCTTCGCTAGGTGCTAATTCGCGTATTTTTATCCGGAAGCTACGCTAAGACTTGGCCGCCGGATTTCAAAAGTTTTTTGTTCGCTTACTGGAACAATATCAGTAGAGCCTAAATTTGGACATGTATTGCAATGGTAATAGTATCCGAATGGCACGCTCCTGAGGATCGCATAACGCTGGAGTTCACACACCCCTTCCAGGTCTACACCACTACCGTTTGCGGCACGGCCCTTAGCGCGGCCCAAAGATTCCCTGACGTAACGCATTAATACTGGCAGAAGCTAATACCGCGAGCAAGTACAAATTCCAGACGGTAAATATAATCCAGATGTAATCGAATGGTGTTGCGTGACCGAATGAAGCGTAGTTAAAAAAAAATTGGCATAAGGATGTCTGGAAATAACCTGTTTTTGGCGCAGTGCATTAGTTCCCTTGACTCGAATACGGCACCTAACGAACTAGAGAATACCACCCCTTAGCTTTTGTTTCAGATTGTACAAGTGTGCAGCAAAAATAAATATCAGATAGAGAGGGCATCTTGCAACGAAGATAAAGAGGGCATCTTTCGGCTTTCCATAGGACCTCAAAACTATGACATCTAGACAACACCGTATACCTGGTCGATATTTGCGATATACAAATATAACGCGTCATGGTGAATATGCAACAGCCTAGCGAACTGAGGCGGATCTAAGCCTGCTTCAACTGAGTGCAATTGAATCCACTTTTTCAGGTGAAAAGGCAGGGCGAATGAAGTGCAGCTGACGCCACGTCATTTCGCGTGATGAAATTTCGCAACTGATTGTTGCGCCAGAAACGCATTATACTCTGCCATTTATAAGTTTATCTTTTGAACCAGGCTTGTTTGGTCTAACAATTTTCACCATTCGACTCGGCATTGCATGTGCTGTCTGGAAGTGCGTCATTCATGCTTGCAGGTCATCGCATGACGTGACATGACCTAAATTTCAGTTCAGTCGCTTTATTTTTTCACCTGAAAATTGGCCCAATTTGTGTATATAGTGCAACAAAACACGATTAGATCGGTTTGAACACATTAAAATGGCTGTTACCCATCACCACGTGTTATTTTTTTACAGGGCAAATACCGATCTGGCATGCGATGACGTCTAGAGGCCGCAGGCTTTGATGCCCCGTGGAAAGCCGCGATATGCCCCTGTTATCTGAAATGTAGCACACTTCCAGCGTTTTTAAACAAGGCGAAAGTGGTCGGATCGTTCAGATCGTAGGGTTCAATGTTATGTCAATGGGACATAATTCATGGCGCCAGAAGCTGCTCATGTCATCAAATAACAAGCTGGCACCGTTCGACTACACATTGCAGCTGTTGCCTGTAAATGCTTCATTTATGCTTGCTTGCGAAAGGTCAGCACGTGATATGACAACTAAGGTCCAGTTCAGGGCTAAACTCCAGTTCAGCCTCCTTACCTTTTTACGCGAAAACTTGCATTACATTGGTTTGTACGATGAAGTAAAACAGGCTTAGATAGTTTCAACACCTTGGATGGTTATGCTGCTTATCCAGCATCACGCTTAATTTTTGCATATGAGAAATATCGATATGGTATGCGGTGACGTCACAGTCACCGCATGAGGTCACAGCTTTGATGCACCGTAAAATGCCGACAGGTTCTCTCGTTATCAGGGATATTCCACACTTGCGTACGGAATGCTTCATTTCGTAGGATCTCGTGCTCAAGTGAATATGCGTTACGCGAAATATTGGAAATCTATAAGCAAACCATATATCCGTAGATATAAATATTCCATGGGCAGTGCTTACAAGCTTGTGCGTACGCACTACTTCAAAACGAACGTTATCTGTTACGAAAACTCATGTACGTACCATTGCGCGCGAAGAACTGTGCACGTTCTTTCGGTGCATTAACTTTTTCCATACGAACATCTAAGCTGCTAAACTTGTCAATGCGAATGCTTTACACGCGCACTTTATTCAAAACGAGTAGTTACTTACGTACATAATACCTAGCGAATTTGTACTTACGAACTGTTGCGTAGTGCTTGATACATGAACTTATGTCCTGAGCTGCTGTTTCCTGTCATGCCATCAGCGACGCCAGCCCGCTTGCCCCGACACCTGTGCCCGAAAGAATAGTTCCAGCGGTGGCCGCCAGGCACCCGCGACACACCGCCCCGCACTTACTTCCCATGTGCCCATTCTGTGCACAATGTCAAACTTGTGCACATTTTGTCGCCAAATTTTGAACCTATAAGGTATTAATAGGAGCCTCCCAAATAGGCCTTGTTAATGATGGCTTTCCCAATCGCTTCAAAGTTGGGTTTTTCGTTTTTTGTCAGGATCAAGTGTCTTCCATTTCACTGCTGCATTGGGGAAGAATGACTTGTGATATGACGCCAAACGACAGCAGTGCTCCGTGATGCTGGCGTTCCACCGAACCAATCTCGTACCTTGTGTTCCTGTAGGGAGTGCGATGTGGCTGAGGCACGCAGGTGTTGCTATGTGTTCCTTGTTGGCTGATTATGTGAAGTTATGTCAGTGTGTGTGAATAGTGCGTCGAAATCTGAGTAGTTCCCAGTCAACACCATTGAGTAGATCATTGGAAGGCGACCTCGCGTGCTCTCCTTGTCAAGTGACCTATTACCAAACGAGCTGTGTGCACCCCGGTCTTGTAGCGTCAGCTATCAACTGTGTTCCTCATGTAAAGATATTGACGCAAACAGATATAAAGAAATGAGCTGATTTATAACTAAGGATGTACTTTTAGGCGGAAAGCCTGCTCTAGACAACACAATTTCTCTGTTTGGTGAATATGCTCCTCAATACGCCATTGTTTGAATACACCAAAGTACATTGCGCAACACTGATGGAGAGCTTATCGACGCCCGTTATACCTGGAAATCATGCTCACGGACGCCAGATATGAACGACTGTACACTTATATTTGTCTTGGCCTCGATCTATATCCCCATTCTCCTGATTTTTTCTCCGAGGTATACGACTATTGATACTGTCCTATCTACGCCCGGGAAACCTTGAATTACCTCCCAGAAAAGTATATACACCTTCGCTGGCGTGTGGCTCCGAAGCTAGAAAGGTTTAGGTCTTAAAGGGGATGCATCACATTTGAAGACATTGTAGCAAGCATAAGATATGATGAAGCAAGCTCACGTAAAACTATTTGTATCTTTTTTTGCAGAAAGACTGCTCTATACAACACAATTAAGTAAGCAAATTGACGAATAGACAAATTAATTAAGCATGCTCCCCGACCAAACACCACCATACCTTGCACATTATTGATTGAGAGACACTTCACGACCGTTACATCTGGAAATCGTGCTCATGAACGCCAGATATGAACACCTCGACTATCATAATTTTCTTGGTCTTGATCGCCGCATGGCTTATGAAATGATAGGATTACAATGGCGTTATTATGACAACATGAATGCCAAGGTGGTCTTAAAATACTCTACGAAAAAGCTTCCCCATCTTCGCGGGCGTGTAGCGAACAAATTAGAGGGTTTAGGTCTTTAGGACAGCGCTGTGAGCTGCACCAAAAAGTCTTCAAGATGGCTAGTTCAGTTGAAAATTCCATAGAAATGTGGAACGCTTTCTTTAAGGACAGGGCCGTAAACTGCACCGAATGATCCTCAAGATGGCGATTTCGGGTAATAAAAGCATACCAATATGGAAACTCCCTTTAAACACGAATTATAAACAACATCGCAGTAGTCTAACTTGGGTCGGAGGGATAACTTGTAGGTTAACTTGACCTTTAAAGTTTGTAAGGCCGCAAGTCCAATGAGAACATTTCCAACATTCATAGCTAGCTGGGAACATCTTGTTAACTTGGGTACATCTTCTAACCACAAGTCTTAAAAAAGCGTAAAAAGTGAAGTCATCAGAGCAGCGATCTGTTTTCTTTAAGTGTTTGGAAAATTATCCTATTCACATGATTTATTCAATTTGCCGAATCGGCGAGGAGCCATGAGTCTACTGGAACTATTTTTGCAACAGCTAGCAAAATTTACGGTATGTCACAAACATATTCACAGATAGGTTTGGAAGGACAGCCTAAAAAGGAACACAAAAATGATTCAGCAGGGTAAATATAAGGTATTAACTTGTGGCTTTACCTTGGCCGTATAGCATGATTTTAATTTGGTGGATAACTGAATTTTTACGCATGTAGCAATTTTGTCTGACTGAAGTCGTCTTCTGATCTGACACCACGTGTATTATCGGTGATAATAAGTCGTGTCGCCATACCAGAAGCATTTACAACGTCCCAATGCATCAGCCACAGATAACGAGCAAACTGCGTCACGAGCAAAAAAGGGAAACAAAGATGGTACGGAGATTTTTGGCTGGTTTCCCCTAAACGCCCGTTTACCGTCAGTTGATCACGCGCCGGACAGCTGGCCAGTGGGTAAGCTGGTCACGTGCGTTCACGCTCAAAAACAGCCCTCGGTGATGCGGCCCAACAAACACCGACACATGGCAGCCAGCCACGAACTGACCCAGCCGGCACGGGGCGGTCGCACGTCGGCGTAAACTGTGCTGGAAAACAGCCCTCGGCAATATTTCGCAACAGCCTGAGCCAAAGCATTCCATTGAACTGAAATCACCTTTTTGGGTTAATGGAGATTTTAGTTCTCGCAACAGCCATGTTTAGCAAGGAACCTGATCCTAATGGCATTCCCGCAGAACACGAAATGGAAGCGTTCCACCCCAAAACAAAAATAAAAATACAAGGAAACCAAACAATGCGCGTATCCAGGGCACACTGGGTGGTAAAAACATTCCAGAGTACCGAGCACATAACCCAACCCAGAGTACATGGGCTGCATTGGTTGTGCTTGTATCCCCCAGCAGCAGTCCGCGGTCCGCAGGTGTAGCGGCACGACACCACTATGGCCATGGCGTCACGACAGTTGTCCAGCGGCAAGACCAGCCGGTGTGGCGTGGCGTGGCTTCTGCGGCTGCCCAGCTCGGGGGTGGTGACCAGCGCCAAAGCCGGCGACGGCGGCTCCTCAGCTCCACCAGGCCGACCGGCCAGCTCGAGGCGCGTGTGGCGCCGGGCCGGGCGGCGGGCGGCGCCGGTCCGGCCCCCGCGCGCCCTGCTCACCCTGCACGCTGGAGACGGTGAGCAGGCCGCCGTCCTCCGACCAGTCTATCTTCAGCAGCTTGTTCTCGCCATTCACCTCCAGCGAGCCCACCGTTTCGCGCGGGTCCTCCAGGTTGTGCGTGCGGATACTGCGCAGGGCGGAAACCAAAGAGGGATCAGGATGCCGTAGGATGTATTGTTTGTGAGCGGCAGGAGCGGTACGAACGATGCGGGGTAAAGGATGACGTGGGAGTTCGGGAAATCGCTGATGACATGGAGCCGTTACTCTAATTACGAACGGGACAAACAAAACAGATTACGTCAACAACATTCCACCTGGTATCGTGGAACACTGTAATCGTCTCAGCCAACGCTGATGAATGCCGAATACCCGCATGGACCACGTTAAAAATAAGCGTGGGTAGGTTAAAACACTAATTCGTTTCTATCAACTTCACCACATAATCCACGTCCTTCTTGCGCGTATGTCAGCAGTTCATTGCGACATGAGTGTACGGGATAGAGGTGTGTTGAGGACCACGCATTCCTGCAGGATTTCGATTCAACCTCAGACAGGCCTGACGCTCATACCCCGCACGCGAGGAACAAAGCTCGCGCACGTGGCTGTCTCTCACAAGCACCCATGAAACCGCGGCTGGATCGGCCCCGCCTTTCCTGGACGCTCACGAGTGCACTGGTCATCGACCGTGGGTATGCAAAGGATCCTCAATTAGAAATTAACTGGACTTTTCATGAAAGCATGACATCATATCAGCTCGTTGTCGCAACAAAGATTGCAACTGTCAGCTTGCGATCTGAAGGGAGTAAATCATGCAGGTAACACCTGCTGCTATGGTTTAATATGTCCTCAGCCTACCTCCTTATAATGGGGGCTCCTCAAACGTGAATGGTTGGTCCAGGCCCGAAGTTAGTTCAGATAAGACAGTGAAATAAGCCATATTCCTTGCGGAATAACCAGAAGAATGGAGACATAGACGTATTAATATTTCCGCTACATGCCCTTATCGAAACGATTATGACCAGTAGAAAACAATGTTCCTCGTAAATGCCCTTAACAACTTACAGAAATTGGTCTAATTATGCTTGATAAATACACTGCCAACATTGTACCCTCGGTAAGGAAGGGAGCAGCCGTGTTCCACCGATTAATAACGTCTATTTTGTAATGGGATTCGGCACTTAAGCCTCAATGTCAGACAAAAATATTCCACACAATTTCAAAAGCACTCTCAATGCAGTTTCATGCACTGAGGCCTCTAAAATGCATCTCTCCACACCAATGCTTCTGCCCAAGAAATACATCACAGGAAAGATAATGCAATGCCATCACAACAACACTACCTACCCAGCTTCCCCACCAGTAAAAAGAGCTCCAAAGCAGCCGATAGCGAGGAACACACGAGCTAAGTGAAACGCACAGGGCGTCAGAATAATGCTCCCGCAGTCGGCCGGTGACGACAGCCTGGCATTTGGCCGCCGCAGTCGGCCAGTGACGATAGCCTGGCATGTGGCCGCCACAGTCGGCCGGTGATGACTGCCTGGCATGTGGCTGCCGCAATACGGTGTCGGCCGTCCGCCGCACTGGGCTGCCCTGTCACCGTCTGCGCTGAACAGGTGCGGCGGGGCGTCCCCGCCTCTGCCGGTCACCCACCTGTTGGCGCTGATGGTGGCGCACAGGCCCAGCGCCTGGCTCACAGCGATGCCCGTCATTTCGGCCGACCGGAAGTCGCGCACCTGGAACAGCTCCGTGCCCATGTTGGACGGGTTGGTGGACACGATGTTGAAGTAGCCCTTGGCGAAGCCGATCATGAGCAGGCCTCGCTGGTGCCTGGGTGGAGGAAGCACAACTTGCCTGATGGGTGATAGCCGTTTCGGCGTCTGCTTCCGCGTACACACGTCACAACCGGTGGGACACACAAACTGCAGTGTTGGAGATATGGAACCGTTTTCTGAATGGTTCCACTGTAGGAAAGTTGCGCTTTGGACTACAGATTTTCCTAAACTTACAAATGTTTGCTCCTTGCACAAATGTTACACGTATCAGTAGTAAGCGCCGAACTATGAAATGCGAAAATTTATCCCAAACGATAAGAACAGCTTGTGAGTGGTGACCTAGTTGGCGCTCAAAAATCGAGTCCCCGGAATTTTACTCCATCTTCGGAGCTCTCAGTAGCCATACAGCTACGCGAGGCACCAACTTTGCTGGTCTCGGCTTACACACGGCGTCCTAGAGGCAGACATGAACCACTGCTACGCGGTACAGCCCCAGACAATGCGTCCAGACAGAAACACGCGGGTGTCTCAGCAAGGTGTCCCGTTTACAGCGGTGAGAGGCGGTAAGGAGACTGTCTTACCATTTGAAGTCGAGAATGGCACCGTACCGCTCCGAGAAGGTCAGCTCCAAGGGCCCGTCTTTCCTATTCACGTTCAGCACGAAAATGGCCTCTGCCCCTAGCTTCACCGCCAACTGCAACGAGGCTTGGAATCACTGTCTGCCGAGACCTGACCCAGGACAGTCCTGGCGTCATTGTCTGCCGAGACCTGACTCAGGACAGTCCTGGCGTCCCTGTCTGCCGAGACCTGACCCAGGACAGTCCTGGCGTCACTATCTGCCGAGACCTGACCCAGGACAGTCCTGGCGTCATTGTCTGCCGAGACCTGACCCAGGACAGTCCTGGCGTCATTGCCTGCCGAGACCTGACCCAGGACAGTCCTGGCGTCACTATCTGCCGGAACCTGACCCAGGACAGTCCTGGCGTCATTGTCTGCCGAGACCTGACTCAGGACAGTCCTGGCGTCATTGTCTGCCGAGACCTGACCCAGGACAGTCCTGGCGTCATTGCCTGCCGAGACCTGACCCAGGACAGTCCTGGCGTCATTGTCTGCCGAGACCTGACCCAGGACAGTCCTGGCGTCATTGCCTGCCGAGACCTGACCCAGGACAGTCCTGGCGTCATTGTCTGCCGAGACCTGACCCAGGACAGTCCTGGCGTCACTGTCTGCCGAGACCTGACCCAGGACAGTCCTGGCGTCATTGTCTGCCGAGACCTGACCCAGGACAGTCCTGGCGTCACTGTCTGCCGAGACCTGACCCAGGACAGTCCTGGCGTCATTGCCTGCCGAGACCTGACCCAGGACAGTCCTGGCGTCATTGTCTGCCGAGACCTGACCCAGGACAGTCCTGGCGTCACTACCTGCCGAGACCTGACCCAGGACAGTCCTGGCGTCATTGTCTGCCGAGACCTGACCCAGGACAGTCCTGGCGTCACTATCTGCCGGGACCTGACCCAGGACAGTCCTGGCGTCACTGTCTGCCGAGACCTGACCCAGGACAGTCCTGGCGTCATTGTCTGCCGAGACATGACCCAGGACAGTCCTGGCGTCATTGTCTGCCGAGACCTGACCCAGGACAGTCCTGGCGTCACTATCTGCCGAGACCTGATTCTGCAGCGAGCTGGTGCCGTTGTCATCGCGACCTTCCCGTTGTGCGGCGTACTCACGAGCGAGTCCTTGCCGTTGTCGGCGCGGCCGTAGCTGACGGAGCTGGGGCTGGTGCGCAGCTTGAGCTCCGCGAACGTCTGGCCGTTCTCATGACTCAGACTGAGAGTGTTGTCCTCGGCGCAGATGGCCAGCTGGCCGTCGGGACTCCACGCGCAGCCGCAGATGGCCGCCTTGTGCTTGCCCTCTATGGCCCCCGATCTGTGCCGCATGGCCACTGGGTCAGACGGGCGTCACAAACTGGATGAGTCGGCCTCACATAGCGCAAGCAGGCCAGACACAGTAACGCCGTACAATCCGCCGGCGTTCGTGGCTCAACCATGCGTGTGGAGCGCCTGTCACTAACCGGAGCCAAAGACTTCAAAGAGACTGGGATGCGCACTCATATTCTTTCTGGGATTAGGCAGCTTGTATGTCGGTTACCCCGACGGTGGGCTGTTAAGAGCTGCCCAGACCCGCCGGCTGCCGCGGCCGGTGGGGTGCTCATGGGACGCCAGCTACTCAGTTCCCAACCGGAAGAGCCTGCGCCGGGTACGCCGACGGACTCACTTGCCATTGGCGTGGTTGTACATGAGCACGTTGCCGTTCTTGGAGCCACAGGCCAGTAGAAGAGAAGTCTTGGACCACGCCATGTGTGTCAGCTGATCTTCAAACGGAGCAGTCACTTCCTTTTTCTTGGCCTGGAATGGCATGAGGAACCATTTCCGACAAAAATGCTACCTTTAGTGGCATCGCAAGCGGGAAAAATTAAAATGACGGAAATGCAGCGGGAGCAAAAAGGAGAAAATATGGTTTACCTGTATCGTTGTCAGATGAAAGCCAGTCCCAATTCCCAAACGTCAATGTTGGCTCTCCGTGACGAATTGATCTTACGCGAAGTTGTTTTAAGTACTCAAAGCCAACGGGTTGCAAGCGTGTGTGACCCAACAACCGTCATGGCCAGCTCCAAAGCACACACAGGCCGAAGGCATGGACCAATCTCAAACATGCGATGATCGCACATCAATGCATCGTTCATACGCAGCATACAGGATAGACGGCTGAGTGCCATCAAGCCTCCGACCTCGCACACCGCCCGGCTGCTCGGCGCCAGCGTTACCGGACACCGGGAAGTGCAGCGTGCGTCAAGTGATCGCACCATGCCGGCATCCCAAAAAGCTATAGAGTGATGGCGTGGTGGCAAGCTTACTCTGGCAAGCTCGGTGCCCGTCCCTCTGCTTCCTTTCTAAAGTCTTCAACCACTTCAGTGATACACCCAACGCGGTTCATTGCTATGAAAGGGTCGCTGGGTCAGAAACCTACAGAATGGAAGCAACACGCGAAACGAAGCCCAAAGTAAAACAGCTAGTTTCCACAGCATACACGACCCGCCCCCCCCCCCCCCGAACTAACCTTGGCCGCCTCATAGATGCACACCACAGGCAGGGACTTGTTGATGACGGCCAGTGTCGCACCGTCTTTGCTCCACTTCAGAGCCTGGCACGGGCTGCCAACAGTGCAAATGCGTCTAGAGCCAAGGCATACATAATGCAATATGCGCACCACAGAACAGGTTACAAATGATGATCCATCTAATTAACTCGGACCAGTCGATTTCATGCCGACTTGAACGCATCGATAAAAAAGAAACTACAGCAAAGTGACATCCAGCACTTTTGGGGGCCGTAAATCGCACCGCGGCCGCCGTCAATCACCCTTTGAGTTTGACGGTTTCCTTGGTATGCCCGTCCTTGGTGTAGATGGTGAGGCGGGAGTCGCCGCCGCTGGTAGCCAGGAGTTCGCAGGGCAGCGACTGCCAGGCCCACTGCATATTGCCAGGGCCATGGGGTGCCTTCAAGTCAAATGTAGTCTGCCAACACACAGCTGCAGGTCAGACATTACAATCCATACTTTGCCATCACTCCGGTGATGATGATTGGGGCTTTACATCTCACCGGCAGCCAGGGCCTTTCCAGGATGCCTTCAATGTCTACTATGCGGAATGCGGTGATGGTGTGGCAGAGGCTCAAGCCCAAGGTCGACAGGTACAGAGTCGAGCACCCTCACGACAACGCCACTGCTGCCCCTACTATATCTTCGCTCTGCAGCAGATTCAAGAAAACCAGTAATTTGCGAGCAGAAGTTACTCCCAATGTTTCCCCTTTTATGTAGCATTATCAACAAAGTGTTATTGCATGCCAGCATAACAGGTTGGTCATTATACCACCACTGCAATGTTGAAAGGTTACGAGAACTGCGTGTGTGTGCATTCAATGACAAATCGGCCGGTCGGAGGGCCAGTTTTACACCCTCATCTCCCGGATTTTGATAGAAATGGATTACAGTGGTTCTCAGTGACGCTGAAGACGCCGGTAATATTTTCAGCTATCTCATTTCACCGGTTTCGGAGTTACAGCCTCCGGCATTTTCCTGTTGTGTGGTTGAATGGCCACGTTCGGCGGAGTTTTTTCACTACCATGAAAGAAAATAATGCACACCTTTGTGTTAAAATGATTCAAAATCCTTCCGGACTGCGTGTGTGTCTTGCTTGGAATCCTCAATGCACATAAAAAAGCTTTTGATTGTGGCATTATAAACATTTGTAATGGACGCAGAAAATATTTTCCTGGGTGATTTTGAACTTTTCTCATTTGCATGTCAAAGAGCGTAGTTAAAAAGCGTAAGCGCAAAGAGTGTAATCCCCACAATTCCAGAAAGGTAGTTAAATGTAGAGAATAGATTGGATAGGATTGGAAAAATGTCGCAGTATGGGCCCACGGTTCAATCGCGCCGCCCGCAGTGCAGTACCGCCACCCGCTGCGGGTGCAGTATCTCCCTCGGGTCTCCGCACAGGCGGCGGAAGACTGCGGGAGGGGAGGGGGTGTTTATGACAGGGTGCGGCCAGGTGACGACAGTCGGCATCAGTGACAGCGATCGCTGCATACTGATGCAAGTGCTTCATGACCTGAGATCGCAGTGCTCTGTTCTCATTACACAATCAACCAATCACGCTATGTCGGGCCAAGCCAATCCCCCTCATTTTGTCTTGTGCTGCCGAGAAGCAGGCGAAAGGCCTCGCGGTTTGCCCTTGATCTTCTTAAAAGACGGAGCAAAACGACAAAACACAGTGAAATACGATGAGTTTTATCGAGAGAAAAAAATCAGCGCCCTGTGAGACAGCACCAAGCTTAACAGCACGACGGCTCGCACGCACGCGGAAGTCCACTCAGCGCGCCCCTGACTCAGTTTAATTCACTCATGACATGTCAGTCTGGGCACTCCCTGGGGTTGTTAGGTTGTGGCCACTCTGATGCTAGAATCTGATGCCAATACGTAGCCAATCACTGGGATTGCAGCCAATCTGATGCTAAGCTCATCCTCTGTCCGAAGGACGTCTGCATTTGAAGCGAAGAAGCATACCGTATGCACGTAAGCCATGTCCCGCAAGAGCTGGCACAGCTTCTCAGCGGGGGATGCGCCACAGGCTGACACTGACGGCAACATTTTTCAATGTGTCCGGGATCCTTCACATGGGATGTGGCGAACCAATGCCACTCGCACTTCACGCCAAACACCTCCTCATGAAAGCAAATATTAAAAAACTTCGCTTGTTTTTGTACTCTGCGGCTGCTCCATCTAAAAAGTAATACACATTCACGGATTTGAACGGGGCTTTTATTTCCGGTAAAAACGTACTGTAGAAATAGATGGGCCGTAATAGTCCTATGTTCCATCGCTTCTGACAGCGCGCAATAACTTCTATACGTATCTGTCTAGCTTCTCGTAAATATGTCACGAAAAAGCCAGCGTGCATTGCGACACATTCCAATAAAACAGTTGACCTTCGTCTTGGACGACGAAAGTGCAGTTTTGTAAAAAGTCTAAAATGACGAAAGCCTCTTTCTCGAGCAGTCGTTTTAAAGGCCATTAAAAAATTTACCTTGGTGCTGGGCGGTAAAGTGATGTCTGATCAGTGGAACTATGGCCTCGTGTAATTTGACTAAAATCTCATCCATTAGAAGGAAAAGTTTGGCTAAAGTACAGCTGCCAGTTCTTACCCACTAGGCAAGTCTGATCTCATAGACCGAATTCAAAATGTCCTTCTGCTTGCACATTGACTGCGCCAACCAAAAAGGATCGCACACCATCATAAATCGGAGAGTTCTCACACTCCCGCATCATGAGCGATTCCCTGCGGACATCACACGGTGTGATTAAGTAGGTCTTAATTAGTTACAGCTCCGAGGCCCAGAGATCCCACCACCAGCGTCGTGTTCCGGTGATAACACCACACGCAAACCGCATGGGTGACGGTGCTACCCACCAAGACGCAGTGTTTCTGGCGGAGACCAGTGAACTTGGAAAATCCGGCTCGTGGGCTGCCCTGCTCCCCCTTATGCAGTTCATAATTAACATGCAGGTGGACTAGAATTAGTCTTTTTTGCTTTCTCACCTCTTCACTGTTTTCATACATCGCATGCTAGCTTAGCCTTCCTTTCCCGGATATATCCTATTGACTGCATCGTATTCGTAAACAAGGCCATCTAAAGGCCTTCTTTCTGATATAGTTTTCTTCCCTACGAGAAGGCAAACATCTCGGATACAATGTCGTGCTCTTCCTTGAGTTTAAGGCTACAACACACAATGTACTACGTCGTTCCGAAAAAACTCGGCAGTTCTCTTTGTCGTAAATGACGACAACGTAACGCTCCGCAGGCGGCGCTGAGGGTTATCGGTCCTTTGGAAGTATTCTTTCAGTTCATTTATCATGCGCTCGTATCTGAAAAATCAGATGGAATCATGCTTAAAACTTAGTAATGTGGTTTTAAGCACAAGCGCCACAAATCTACTTTTCGCGACATTTTTTACAGTACTATGAATTGAGCTAGTCAGAACTCTGCCACACCACAAGATTGCGTTTTTTTCGCTACATACTCTACTTTATATCCGTACGTTTACACGTGTGCAGCCAGAGCATTGGCAATGTGAGCAGAGGGTTGACAAAAGACCCCTTATAGTGAAAGATTCCCGTCAGAAAAAATGCTGAATGAGACTATTAAGCTAAAGAGAGAATGCTTTTCGATGACATTTTCTCTTCTTTCTTTCTGAGTAAAACAGAACCCAGACGGCACCGCTAGATAGAGTCTGTCTGAATTTCATCGTCTATTAACTGAAAAAATTGCGCGTTCAACGATTGCAGGAAATAAATCACCGGCGCTCTTCACAGTACAGTCGTCAAGTGGACACTTACCTAACCGATAAAGGTCAGAAGCTTTGTCATAATTTGTATCTGGGTTCTGCAGAGATATAGGAAACAACGTGAATGTAGATTGTAGATCGAAATAGGTCAACAATTTGTGTTAACATGGCCAAGCCATGTTTTTGTCTGGAAATGTCCAGCAGTCAGTCAGAATCCATAAGTGATGTAAATTATATGACGTAGTTCTGAACATGAACGCGCTCGCAAATCTTAGCAGCGAAAACACCGACGCCAAGCGCTGCAGCCCCGTGGGCCACGCAGCGTTAGCCCCGAAGCTTACACTTACACTTTCCGAGCTGCACGCCCACTTTCCCGGGCCTGTAGCTCAGAAACCAGAGGGGCTTATGTCTTAAGAAGGGCAAGATTATCGGTCTTCAAGCACCGAAAGGTTTTCAAGACGGCTATTTTAGTTCAAAATCCCATCTAAACGTGGAACACTCTTTAATTGTAGGAGCCTAATGGGGCGACACGTGTCCCCTGTGCCCCCTCCCCCCCCCCTGCCTGCGCTTTCGTAGCGTTTCCACCCCTTGTTTCTTCGCAAGGGTGTCATCAGGAGTCGGATATCTACGCCGAAAGATGCGTTGCGAAAACGGCATTCTGGAGACGGAACTACGTACCTGAAAACTAACTTGTGCTTATACTTGTTTTGCAATATGCACACTCAGACCTCCAAATAAAATAAGTACCCTTCCCCTTTGCAAGTAAACGCATGGACAATGTTTCACTTTTCACGGTTATTGCAAAAGGCTATTGCAGACGCGATAAAAAAATTTAGAAACGTTAAATGACTAAATGATGGACTGCACAGCACTAATAAAAAATGTAGGTGCTTACTCCATTGCACTGGCATTTGTTTAAGACCTTCCAAAACGGCTCCGACATTTTCTCTGGCTGTATCCGAGTCGTGTTAATCGGATCTCGTTGAATTTCGTCCCTGCGACTGGGAGTTAGATAACTCGCATTCGGGTTCGACAAGTCTCGTGTTTTTGTCCGCAGAAAGGCTTCTAAGAGTATTCAGTACAACTGGTGTGACAGTCGCAACAGAAAAGAACTATCTAAACACCCAAATGTTTGCATTGCTATTCGCGGATTCAGGCGCGCAGCCAGAGCCTTGGCAAGGAGGGACACAGGGTTGACAAAGGGCGAAGCGAAGTGGTGTTGAAATCAGGTGGCGGAACCGGAGAAGTAAATCTATAATCTCCCTTTTCGTGTTGCTGTAGCTGTTAATCTGTTCAGAGAACAGCCTCAAAGCCGTGAAAAGATAAGCCCAGTCTCACCTTTGAACAGTATCAATAAATTTTGAAAAGAGATTCGGAGCCATTATTTTACGGCTGCCGTTCCTGCGTGTATGGCGTGAGCCGCTTAGTGTTAATTCAGTGGCCAACAGCGTTCGGCTTTACGGAAACTGCAACCCAGGCCATCGCTGTCCTTGCTTCCGAGATTGCGGCGCGCAGGTTCAAGCCTTTGATGTAATTTTTCATTAGTTGATTCTGCGAGATGATGGAAGTTCTCGGTCAAACATGGGATGGCCTTGTCCGTTTTTGGACTCATTTCGACCAACTCAATTCAGCACTAACAAGACCACTTGTTTTTTTCAGGGTAAGACAACCCATGGAGAAAAAAACTAGGGGCCACATTTTTGTTCTCGGCCAAGGGAAGAAAGGCATTCAGTCCCACCGCAGGATATATTCTTATCTTTATCTCCTTGCCTTTACCTTTATCTTCCAGTTGCCATTCTGGCGACACGGGGCGGGATCTCCTAGCCGATCGGAAAGCCCTTACAGGAATATATTATACCACATTGGTCCCCTCTCTGATGCGGGAGACCTTCTGACCAGCACAGTTGACCCTGGATCGACGCAGAAACCTTCATTGACGAAACAACATCCTGGTCGCCGCAATTGGCCCGATAATTGGCACATGACGCTAGCTCGGCTTCACGTGTTCGTGCTGACATTGGGTTGGAAGGCTCACAGTTAGGGACTGGAGGCTATGACTGGCACGGACCCTTGCATTGCCTCAATGTGAACATTCACCATAAGTTCTCATTTTTCCTTGCATTGTGAGAGCGCCTCGACCAAGGCAAGAGACTCGCTCTGTCATTCGTGATTCCGTCCCAGTCCCTGTTGAGCAAATCTTCCCTTGACCGACTCGAGGCCTCTAGTTGACACAGAATGCCGTTAGCCACAGTGGGCCGAGAACGATACAGGAGATCCGCATTGCTGCAGAGGCCTCGGCCAGTCAGACCCCGGTGGTATCCCTGCTTAGGAAATGGGCCCCCAGAGCTCAGATCGATACGGAGCCGGCTGTACGGTGTCGGTGATCTCTGGCTGAAATAGAGAAACGCTCTGTGTCCGTGGCCGCCAATCGGTGCAAGAACTGACATATGAGATCACGGCCCGAACGGCGGGGGTCTTTAATGCGACCTATTCAGCCCTTTGGGCCCTCCAGCCTTCCAATCGAGCTTGTGATCTTTGGTCTCAAGAGATCCTTCGGTCCCTATTCGGGGCTCCCTCAAACACCCCTCCTGGCTGGCTCGGGCTTCTCGCCGCCAAAGGGCCCCTGTTACGCACTGTGGCCCCTGACCGACACAGGAACCCCTCATGGTGTCAGAGACCCCGCGCATTGCAAATCGTGGGCCCGGGCCTCGTTTCTGTTGGGGAAATGGGTGCCAATGGCTCAAACGGGCATGGAGCCGACTGTTTGGCGCAGTGTCGAAGCCCTATATAATAGGGATAGATAACCCTGATAGGAGGGCCCTAATATAATCTCCCTGATTGACATTTCAAATCCCGACACTACGGGTGAGGGTCACATCCGAATCCAACCGGGCCCTCGATTTTTGGTCCTGAAGTGTCCTCTGACCCCTTTCCGGACCTCCCCAACCAAAGCCCGTGATTGACCAGGGGCCACTAGCCGAGACATAACCCCATGTTATGCACTGTAGACCCCTGACCGACACGGGGGCCCCGACCACTGATCTAGGGACCCAGTACAATGCACAACGTGGTCCCGGCGTTGCTTCAGCTTGGGAAATGGGTCTCCAGGGTACAGACTGATAGAGAACCAACTGTTCGGTGTTCGTGGTGTGTGACCGGCTCAGACACCCACATTGTCCCAGGGATCCTCACCTTTCTGTGGCCTACAGCCAGTCCTCCGTGCCCTTATGCCCACTAACCGGGCCTTTGATAGTCGGTTGCGCTGGGCCGCCCGGGCCCCTCTTCTGGCCTCGTCGAACGCCCCTGGTCGGCTTGGGGCCCCTTGCAGGACTTGCAGCCCCTTGCAGCCCCTCGCAAAACAGGACTGCTAGGCACTGTGGACCCCTGACAGATATGAGCCCCGGCCAGTGTGAATCACTGGCCCCGGCTTTGTAGCTGATTGGGAAGTGTCTCAGGCATCAAGGTTTTAAGCCTCTTACAACGCCCGGCCCTGCCGGCACGGGTCCCTGAATACGACCTCCGGTCGGACTTTCGGGCCTTCCGGGCACTCAAATCGTGTCATCAATCGTACTTTTCGAAGGACCCGAGGGCCCCTCGGCACTTAATGAGAGGGGGCGCGTGCCCCCTCCACCTGCGTTACTGTGCGGATCCTGGACACGATCGACTAGCTTTTTACGCGGTCCTTACAACTCGCCGTGCTCACATTCTGAGCTCCCCGAATGGATCCGCACAGCCGGGGTTGAGCGTTTCGTCGCAAGACAAACTGCCGATACACCCGCGCGCTTCATCCGCACGACAGGCATTGGCCCGAGACCTTATATCACTGGGTCTTTGACTTCTGAGTTGTCCCGCATGAGCAGGAGACACCACCCGCGCAGTACGCACCCATCTCCCCATTCCCTCCTGCTCCAATTACCCCGGCCCCGACTAGCCACGTAGGGGAGGGAAGCGGGGAGGGGGGGAGGGAAGCGGGGAGGGGGGGGGGGAGCAGCTGGTCGCGGCGGCGCGCCGTGCGCCGTCCTCGTGCGCCACACATAATTAGTCGGTGCAGGACCACGTCTTTTTAAGCAGGTAACTGACTCTTCTATGACTGCTATCCAGAGACTAAACTACGCTATTTCATATGCTTGTGAAAAACAAAATCACATAGCAAAATTCTATTCGTGCGTTGCAAAAGTTCAAAATGCCTCGAGCACTGTTTTGTTGTATCATGACGCTTTCAAGAATGACACGCAAAAATTTTGGACAGTATTCTGACCATGCAAATGTATGGGTTTGGCAGGGCGACTTTCAAGCAAGTGGAAAACCGCCACCGACGGTAGGCTTGCAAACACGCTACTCGAAATTGCCGAAGGCTATGACTCTGAAGTGGTGCAGCTGAGAAACTTAAAAATAACACAGACGACTTCAGCACTTATAACAATCCCAGTGGCTCCATTTAGTCAAAACCTGATAGATGAGCGTGTCAGGCAGTCGTCGGTTTATCGTGGAATGCTCCGTGTATAGGTGACTGCAGAAAGAAAGGGTGGGTGCTGAAAGCCCCATAAGTTGTGTCAGCGCTAACGTCTGCACAGTGACTGCACCTGGTTCAGCTTAGCTCCACCCTTTTCTGCCTTGTGGTGGCCAGCACCACCAATGAGCTTGGTAAGATTCGACAGCATCTCTGCAGCTTATTAAACTGAATTCTGTGGACAAAATCATGAAAATGTGATGCAATGTGACAAAACCATGAAAATATTTGTAAGCTCAAAACTATCATTCATTTAACCATGACAGCAATAACAGCATCTTCAGAACATCCAATGCACATCATGCTTGCTGAACAGTGGCACTCTGCAAGCAGACGTCACTTACTTTTCGAGTTCCGATAAAATGGTTTCTTTTATACGATGTTCTTGAAAACTGGCCGATGCACTATTCCAAGGAAATTGTTCCAGAAATCCATGCTGCTTTTACAGTCAGTCCGCTCATATATTGCATACACCGGCAATACCAGTGTCCGTAACAAAATCGCGCTTCCCCACCAAAAGCGCTATTGATAAACGCGCGGCGCATTTTACCGAGGTTTACCAAGGAAGTGTGGCTCGTGCATAAGCGTGAGCTGATGTTATCACCATTGCTGGGCGAACTGGATTTCTTTTTTCTTTATCGTATGATGGTTATGACGTCATTGGGATACCAAGCGAGCGGAAAATGAATTTTGGTAGCGTGTCGAGGGCGAGGATTCGCACAGAAAGTTGGGAAAAGGGCATCGTGAAAAAATGATGACCCTGACCCCCAAAATTTGCCTACAAAAAGGTATCTTTTCGGATTTGGTCTACGTTTTTCTCAAAGTTGGGAGGACAGGGCAAAGCAAGGCAAGGTTCAGAAGAGGGCAGAATTGTGCCGACGCAGAAGCCCTATTAGGCAATGTGGGCCGCTGACTTACACAGGGCTTCTCATTGTTCCAGAGGTCACGAGCAATGAGAAATCGCCGGTGCCTGCCTCGTTCTCGTTTGAGAAATGGAGCGGCAGCCCGTAATGCTCAGACGTATGCGGAGCCGACTGTGCGGTGTACTTTTTCGGTCGAAATTGGAGCCTGCATTGTTCCAGGGATCTGTTATCGGTGTAAGAGGCCTTCTGAATGATATTTTAGGCCACAACGCTACAGTCCTGAGTTCTTAACGTTAGCTCCAGCCCTTCGAGGCCTTCGGAATTCCAGTCGGGCCCTTGTTCTTTAGTTCCGAGGCCTTTCGGACCCCTTTTTGCCTCTTCCCCTTTCGGGCCCCTCGAGCACGGGTCCCATCCGACTCAGGGGAACTTGCCGACAAAGGGCCCTTGTTGGTCACTGTGGGCTTCTGACGGACAAGCGGTCGCGTGTTGTTTCAGAAACTTCGACGAAGACAGGCCGTGGGTCACGGCCCTGTTCCTCCTTGGGAAATGGGGCCCCAGGGCTCAGGCGGACTCGGAGACAGCTGTTCGGTGTCAGCAATCTCTGGCGGCAATAGACGCCCACGTTGTCCCAGGGGTTCCCAATCGGTGCAAGAGGCCCTTGGAGTGACATCTGAGGTCACGGTCCTACGGGCCGAATCTTACGTATGACTCACATAAGGCCCTTCGATCCGCTCGAGCCCTTCAGCCTTCCAATCAGGCTCTTGATCGTTGGCCCTAAACGATCCATCGGGCGCATTTTGGATCCCTCAACACCTCCCTGGCCGACTGGGGCCCCTTCCCAACACAAGACTCCTGTTAAGCACATAGGGTCCCTGGAAGACACAGGAGGCCCTTCATTGGCTCAGGGGTCTCAACCAATGTAAATCGCGGGCTTCAGTCTTGCCCCTGCTAGGGGCAAGGCTTCATGTCGGTCTGGGCCTGAGGCCTCAGACCGACATGAAGATGATTATATCCTTATTCCAGATGGTCGGGATATACTATGTTTATTGCGGCGGGGCAAGCTGGGCAGGTGGAGCATACGTATCCACTTTACTAAGCAGTCCCCGTGTGTTGGTTTTATCAGGCAGCCTCCATTTGCGTATTTTATTGGGCGATGTATCTCTATTTGTTGGTCTTGCTCGGAGGTCTGTCTTTGCTTGCTGGTCTCGTTAGGCCGTCTCTATGTCGGTTGTTTTACTAAGCTGTGTTGTCAGTGGTCTCTGTTTAACCTCGCACAGATCTATGTGTGTGAGACTGGCGATCCCTGCCGGTTAATTTAATACACGTATTTAGATGAGGTGCGCACGTAGTAGAGTAGTCGGTGTTATCCAAGCCTAAAGGATCAAGTTAAGTCGAAGTATCACTGCTAAGAGGAGTCCTTACAGTATACACCCATGAAAATGAGTTTAAGTAGAATAAGTATTGCGTTTTAACGCTGCACAAGCAAGGAAAGATCAGTTTAGGATATATGTTAGGACGTGAGAAAAGAATGGTGCATCCGAAGCACGTGGCAGCTTTTGTATTTCGTGTTGTGTATGTCTATCGACATGTTATTTCAGTGTTTCACGCATCTCATAACGTGTATGTTTATCGATATATAGTAAGGTGGCTCGTCAGCTGTACTTTTCGTGGCGTATGCGCTTGTCAAAAGATTAAAGTAGCCGTGTACCTCGTGGCACATACGCGTTTCCACAAGTTTAGGTAGTTTAAAATCAGCCACAGTATTAATGAATCCATGTTGCGACTCTATTAAATGATTCAGTCGGTCTCAAAGTCAAGGTTAGCGGTGATCTTTTTACTGGCACCGGTCACGTGTTTTGTGTTTCTGCATCGCTCGTCGTTCTGAATCGCTTCACCCCTGAGTGGGCGACAGGCCTCATTCGCTTGCATAACTTGCTGCGGACTATTGACCTTTTATTACGCGTAGCAAATGGCATGAATTGATCTTGCGTTGTCCAAGTTTATTGCTATCGATATACTGTGTGCTGAGAAAACCTTTCTTTTATTCGCGAATCAGTCTCGGAACTGGTGTAGAAACCTAGTTGTCGATCATCCTGGTGAACGTGTCCCCGGCAGCGCCATATTGACAAAAAAGGCTGCAACAGGGAGTCACACGCAAACGGTTACGGGAGGAGAGGGTAGCCTTTTACCCACACCTTTTTCTGCCTCCCATCCTGGTGGCATTTTAGGTGCGATTTTCAGGAAAGTGACACGTTTGCAATCACATCAGTTATCGCAATGTTCTTCGGGAGAGGTCAAAATCAGGTAAAAATGTGTTGCATTTTCAAACAGTTTTGAAAAAGATGTGATACTATGAGGCGGCATCGACCGCAGGGTTACACCACCCTTCGCTTCTTAGTGCAGCCGTATGATTGTAACAATGTCTGCAGTCGCCTGACCAACGCGTTAAAAATCATCAAATTTGCAAGAAGAGTAGCCTGTGCGTGTTACATCGTGGAAAAAATGTACCTGTGACTCCAGGTCATATCCTTCTGACTCGGAGTGGGTGAAGTGCCTCGACATTTCCCTTGTTTTCTTTTTCAGATTTGCCCGTTCTTTCTTCTCGGGGCTAAACATTTTGAATTTCAGGTGATATCGGAGTTCGTGCTGCATTTTTTGACGACGGATATTCGGAGAGTTGAAGTGTACCAAAGTTGTTATCCCTCCAAGGCATCCTGACTTTTTGTAACTGTTCCACAGTTAATCAACAAACCTTTGTCCTATCCTTTATTCGCCAAGGACAATTGATTCATTTCCCTTTCAGTCCTCATTTAATCGCACCATTCGGTGGTGTGCCGTTGCCGGTGCCACCGGCGTATCGTGCTGAGGATGTGCCGGTGCTGCACGGTGCCGTGCTCCGGCTGCGCCGCCAAAAATGGAAGCTTATAAAAGAAAATAAGAGCACAGAAGGTAATATAGGTTTCGTATCACTCATCTCCACCACTTTTTTGCTTAACCCCAGAAACATTAAGAAGAATGACTGTAACCCCTGCCTTGCCCAGCTCTGAACCTGTCCTCGATTAAAATAGAAACCATCATATCAAAACTGTTGAAAGGACGAATTTTTAAATGAAAAAGATCTTGACGTGGGATTCATCTGGCCGCAAGGCCACGTGTCAACTGTTGCGATGCGACCGGCATGAGGTGGGCGGTGACTTTTAATGCACTGCGACTTTGCAAGCGGCATTCACATCGGAGTGTCGTGAGTGCCTGTCTAGCATTCAGTTTTCGAGCCTTGTTTACTTCATTGGCGGCGCCGCGATTCAGCGTCCTGTCCCCAGTGGCGGCGAGAGGCATTGATGGTTCAGAGTAAGTCGGCGGGATGATCCGGTCAGGGTAGAAACTGACCTGTGATCATCCAAACTGTCTTTTGATGACACCGAATAGGCTGTGGCTTCTCTCTCGCAGTCACAAGCGACCAGCCTTCCTCCCTTTGAAACGAACCGTGGGTTCGATGTTGAAGTCTGCGGGCACTTCTCATGAAAGGAAAAAGCAGGAAGTGATAATGATTTTGAAGTGCCAATTAAGGCCATTTTTGCTGTTGTCTTGATTGAGAATGGTTGCCAGTCACAAAGATCTTCAAATCAGGGGTGTTCCCACTTTTATTCAGTTCAGGGCTCCATGCCTACCCCTCCCCCAAGTTTGTGAAGAAGTGTGCTTATCTGAGAGACGCCCACATTTTGAGGGTGCACTGCATAATTGTTCACTGCTCCCAAACATATCTTCAAAAACTATGCCCCTGCTTGAAATGCAGTTATTTTATCGATGTTTTGATCACGTTTCAACAATTTTTCACAGTTAAGTCTTTCGCTAAAATCAGTCTTGGTTGCTAGAAATTCTATGTGATAGTCAATGACGTAGGCAATGGGAAGGCGATGAAAAGTGGGGAGCGGGGTGGTATAGCAAACGAAGGCAATCAGGAGGTAGGGGAGGGGTGCATGTTCCAGCGTCATCTCCCCTTTACCAAGACTTTTACTGCAAATAGGAGAATGTTTTGTGGTATTGTGGTCCATGTGTCCTATGACCGCAGTGAAAGACGGGCTCTTGGTTGTATCTGAGGACGATGTTGGTTATATGCTGATCACAGGGGCGAATTGAACAACAATAGGCCATGCCGGCTGATGAGTAGCTTCCATCACCGAAAGGGAGCGTGACATTGTGTACACATGGTTGCATCCGGGTCACACGATTAGAAGCATCTTAAATTGGGACACTGGAGTTTTACAAATGGCCGCTTCCATGAGGCGTGTGATCAGCGAGTGAGCCGCTGTCGGGGGCGTGCAAATAAAATGGGCATCTTAATCGGTGTGTGTAAGCCGACGCATGAGGGCATCTACTCAGAACAGCTTATTTCCTTCAATACACTGAGTAGTAGATACGCACAAAATGCGGCTCTTGTGTGCATCGACCCAGATATTTGTGGAATTACACATGAGGAATTACACATCGGCGTAATGTTGTGTAAGTCCAGTCGTGAGCAGGTCTCCACAGGCGCGGCCCCATAAGTAAATCGAGTCATGTTTAGGGGGATTTGGACAAAAGTGCCATTTTGTGTACAGCTACATCGGAAAGGATTTAAGCTGACTAGCAGATATGCACTTATCACGAGTTATACACAAAAGCGCCATCCGTTTAATTCTACTCGGAAATGTATTCAAGACGACAAGCTGTCATGTGCAGATAACCTCATGACGTGATATTCACAGCAAGGTCTTCACGCCATACCATGAAATTCCACCCGCGATTGGATTTAAGCAGAGATTGTTTGTACAGGTGCACTCGCGCTGTGATATACACGAAGGAGACGTTTTGTCAAGATCGTGACTTGAAGCACACATCAATTAACTACATCATTATGTGATCTACACAGGAGACGGAGCGCATGCGGTATTGCTGTTAAAGACGTCATATTAAGTCGGAGCCCGATTCCAGCACTGTTCACAGACCATACATTTGGGCACTGCGTCAAAATTACGTTGCCTGGGTTGGTCACAGCCAGGTGCAACATATACGGAATGTGTTAAAGGGCTGCTGATCGCGGAACATAACCTAGCCTAACCTAACTCGACAGATCTGTCCAGGCGCGCGTCGACGTTGAATAACGGTTGAAAAGGCGCACAACACCAATCCACAAAAGTTATGTCGTAAATCAGACTTGATATACACAAAAGTGCGGTGCTCTATAAATCGATTCAGGTCTGACGTGGTCTGCACACGGAAGACGTTTGCAGTAAACCCACTCATGGCTGTGCACGTGTGTGAAATCATGGCAAGCTCCTGCCATTCGAAAAGGAGAAATGGTCACGAAATCAGTACACGCTCATTTGCGTAGGCTGGCTGAAGCGGAGAAGAGAAGACAAGCGACCATTTAAAATAATCACCAGCTCTGGCTCGTCAGCCACGATGCGCTAGACACGTTGTTTAATGAGCACAGCGATATGTACACGCTGATAACCGCTCGCGAGTGGAAGCGGCGTGCCGGGGCCAGCCGCGAGACACTGACGTCATCCGGGCAGTGCCGAGCTGCCGGTGTCGGGCCTGGCGGGATGGTGGCGGCCGCGCCGCCAGGGGGCGCCGAGGGACCGGGCGCGGCGCTACGCACACGCTCTCCGCAAGTCCGGCCCGCAGCAGCGTACTCTCCGCCCCACTGGCAGGTCAGATCCCCGCGGTCCCGAGCGGGGCGCGGTGTCCGGCGCCGCACCCCTGTGTCACACCGCAGCGCATGTAAGTGATGCTCTGCCTTGCACGTTCGACAAACAGTCTTCAGAAGTACGAGAATGAATCCGCATAACATTCGGTCAGTGCTGCCCGGGCAGCCAGATGTGCCGTTCCTACGGCGGCTCCATGCATGCATCACGAGCGAGCAATCCTGCTACTCCGGCCACCGGAAGACGTGTACTGCAGACGTTTCCTGATGGTGGAGGCGAACCAAGGGTTTGAAGCATCCTTAGCCGATGTCAAAATTTGAGTACTAACCGTATGACGTTGTATGAACAGAAACATTCCATTCAATGAGGAAGGTCACGTCCGATGCGTCGCAAACGGGTCGTTTGATGAATAGTGCTGGCGCACACCTGCAGACCGTTCCAGTCGTCCAGAAACCCTGGCATAAGTCGAGAAACTGCAATGCTTGATAATGAAGCCTTGATCAGGGGCGGGACATAACTAAGTCCGTCGTACACTAGTCTTAAAAGGACGTTGTTAAACAATGATTCTGAAGGTGGCCCTTGCATTTGAAAGAAATGATGTGTCTGTGAGCGATGCTGCAGGCTGGCCTTGTTTTAACGCGAGCTATCAGAGAGAACGAGGCCTCAGCTGCTTGGCCAAACCCGGTCATTCACACTTTTGTGGGGTGCATATTTATCCAATAACACATCGTACCGCCACCTAGCTTCCAGTAACAGCTAGCGCGGTTCTTAAAGAAGTTGACGTTTTGAGTTCATTTTCTCACAAACATTTTTATCAAGCTACGTTTTCCAAAACACTGCATGATGATCATGATCATGACCAAGCCTGGAAATTTGCGTACGAAATCTATGCGTCAGTGAGCCTCTGCCTACTAAGCTCATGAGAGGGCAGTCCATTACTTCGCTAGGATTTATTATATGTGAGTTACCGCAGTCGACCGGCTGCGTTCGCTTATACTTCGGTTCTACCTGCGTCCGATGTCTGAAAGTACGTGGACATCTGTGCATAATTCAAGCAAGAATGTCTGTGAAGTCACGGTTTTCTGGCATGACGAGTTCAGATTTTTCTGCCGACAGTTATCGACCTTTAATGTGCCAGAAGGTGCTTGTTAAATGACGTCGTAAAACAAACAATGGTTACGTTGTCAATGCTCAACGTTCTAGACTGTGCCTATGGTCACGAGTGGAAATTGCTGACATGAAAACTCAGATAATAGTGAAGACAATCTACACGTCTTCACGGCAGACATTGTTGACAGTGTGACCATTGTTTGCCTGACGTCGCTTCACCAGTACATCCTGGTATAGTGATGGCTGATAGCTGTCAATGTAACAACTTTGATCATGTAGATAAGACAGTAGAAACAGACTGATTTCTCGGAGAAAAACCTGGTGAATGGGGAGGTAGGTGAGTTGATATTGAGGCGATATGTTTTTATCGAAATGAGTATGAGCATCAAATTCAAAATTGCCTGTTGATCCCTCTCGATTTTTCGGGTTTTCAACGACGATCCACAGTTTTTGCAGGTCACCAATATTCAGAGGATTAAACGAGGAGCAACTGCCAGCCATTACTATGGTGCAGTGAACATCTTACTAAGAAATGGAATACGTGAAAAATACGTGCACATGCAAATAAATTTAAGTGAACAGGCATGATCACAACGCACCACGCTGCATTCAAACATGCAAGCGATTTCAACTAAGCAGGCGTCGTACATCACGCGTCAGGCATCACTCATACATGTAAACGATTTTAAGTTAGCACGCATCACACATCAAGGCACTTACCACCTATGCATAATCGGCCATGATGAGCCCCCTATGTTAAGGTCTGGTCGCCGACATTTTATAAGAATGGATGCACTTATTTTCCTGTCTGGATGGTCCTGTGCTCTGTCGGTGACTTGAAGCTCCAAAAGAAGTATAAGGTCCATACCTTCCTGGATGATACGTTCACACGCAAAAAAAGACGTAGTTTACGAAATTAAGTGTGAGCTGTGTGAAGAACATTGGAGGAGCATAGTTTATGTCGGAGTCCATGCGCTCTATTCGTTTAAGATATAATAAACACCTGCGAGATGCTAAAAACAGAACAGGGAATATCCCTTTGGTGACCATTTTTTGGCAAACCACTCTGGTGTTGAAAGCCAGGGAGGTATGGACCCTTTACCCTTTTTAGAGCTCAAAGTCATCTTCGGAACATAAGACCATTTGACAAAAAAATAAGAGAATCTATTCTTATAAAATGTCGGCGACCATATCTTAACGTACAGGACTCATCATGGCGATCATGCGAATGTGATCAGTGCCTTTATGTGTAATGCGTGCTAGCTTAAAAACGCTTACCTGTATGAGGGATGTCTGACGCGTGATGCACGATGCCCGCTTCATTGAAGTCGTTTTGCATGTACAATTGTTGCGTTATGTGTGATGTCTGTTTACTTGAAATCATTTGCATGTTTGAACGAATTGTGATCTGTGATGCCTGTTCACTTGAAATCGTTTGCACGTACACGTATTTTTCGCGCATTTTTATTCTTAGTTAGAAATATGCTGCATCGCAGCAATGGTTGGCAGTTGCTTCTTGTTCAATCTCCTGAATGTTGGTGACCTGTAAAAACCGTGGATTGTTATATAAAAAGCCTGGAAAATCGAGTAGGATCGGCAGGAAATTGTGAATTTACTATTGATATTTATTTCAATGAAGGTATGTTGCCGAAATATTAATTCTTCTATGCCTCTACTCTCTTGGTTTTTCTATGAGGAGTAAGGCTACTACTGCTGACTTATCTATATGCATAATGCTCCTCGCAGATGCACTTAACCTACTTACGTGGCTTTGAACATGCAGTGCATTTGTCCACACACCGTCTGCTCACGACGCAGGTGATCTGATGACGATCTATTGTCAAAACGTAATACGTACTAAGCTCATCGAACTGCGTTTGTTGCGCGTGCGTAGTGAGACCGTTGTTTTCCATGACGCCGCTACTACATCGACCTGCAATGCTTTACGAAAAAATGACGACTGTATTCGAGCGCAAACCGTGGATCTGTCGGTTTTGGCACGTCTGTAAGGACTGCGGTCCTTAAAGACACTCAAAAGAAATAGGAAGAAAGTACTCAACTTGAGTTTTTTCCGATGCTGACATATTTTGGTAGAAAACTTAAAGACGGGGCTGGCTATCCTGAATCGACACTAGCTGTGTAGCTTAAAACAGGCCATGGCCGAAAGGCAGCACAGCGTATCGGGCACAGTTTCTGAGATCTCAATAACGCATGCATCACTCAGGGGTCCTTCCGCGGTGTTTGTGATCGTGCAGAAACCTTGGCATTGTGTGACGTATTGATTTTCTGTCGCCGGCCCTGCCGATCCGCACGGTTGAGGGAGGCGCCGTGCTACGAGAGTGTGCACGTATGGCCGATCGATATGGGGCGAGCAGGCGCGCCATGTGCCAGTGCACAACAAAGCCAGGCTCAAACATGCGCCTGCCAGTCAATCACGGGTACATCTGCAACCCTCGTCTCACTTTGCTCTTGTCGCGACGTTAAGTGTCGATCTCCGGCTAAATTCTTGTATCGTATCGACTATCTTGTATCGGATCGATTGTTGGTTAATCTTGCATCGACATCATATCGCCTGTGTGAGTGCTCGATATTACGGAGGGACATATTCCTGTTCCATGGCAACGTTGTATGCGTGTGGGGGGATAAACATGATATGATGTAGGGCCATTCAGCTATTTAACGAGATTTTAAATTAAACTGTTTCCGCCTTTACAGTGGCTTTGGTACGACTTCATCGCGCTGTAACCGACCAGCGAAATTTTTGACGGCCGGTTCACACACACTCCCGGCTATCAGGGGAGGCGCGTGGAGACGGCCAGCGTGCCGTACCCTGCGACGCGGGGTGAAACAGCAAGGTGGGCGTGCCTGTCCCCGCTCGAGGACAGGGCTGTAACTGTCGGCGGCGGTAAACGACCGCCCATCCGGCCGAGCGCGCCGCCGGCGCCGCCGGTCCTGCGCCATTTGAATCGGCGTCGCCGGCGCTTCCGTCCCCGGCGCGTCGCTAATGACTGGGGACGTGCTGCCGTCGGCCGGGCCGCGCCCGCGGCGCCGGACGTGCGCTGTCCTCGGCGGCGCACCGCAGGCGCTCACGCCCGCGGTCCCAGATGGGCTGACGAACTGCACGCCGCCCTCAGCGACGCGCCGCACGTGCCCACGCCCGCGGTCCCAGACGGGCGGGCGAACCGCACGCTGACCGCGGCTGCGAGATACTCCTTAACACCAACAGCTTCACCATCGAGCGGGAGTGGCTGTCGGGGTCTGGGGCAACATGCTGCGGCACTCGTTCCTCCGTCGGGACGCGTGACATTTAAAGATGCGATGGTGCACTCAGGCCGAGTGCTCCTCACGAGTGTGCAGTTGTGCTTGACAGCACTGCAGAAACAGTTCGATTCCGGCACTTTTTTTAAGCGCGTCACTTTGTGGACCATAATTCCGCGTGGCCAGACCCCATGCCCTCATTTGCATCTGTTTTTACTGGTTTTGACACGCGCACCCGCGCGGGCGTACGTGAATGACGGTCAGAGAACACATGTATGTGAGAAATGAGGCTTAGAACGTAGTGGAACTTTTGGAGCGTGGTATTTCAGAAACCCCTTTCTCTGAAGGGCGTCAAAAGTACCGTCAATCAAGAAAGAATATTGAACTTGCACGTTTTGGCTATTTGGAAGGAATGATGTCATCGCTTTCTAGTGGCTAATTCCTCAGTGGTATGTTTCTTGTGAAATTCTCCTCAATGTGTCTGCAAATTGTGTTATACAGTGTTGTCCTTTGGGTAACTTGTTCGAATTTCATGAAGTACCTAACACCAAACTGATTTCCTTTAAACACTCTTAATAGTACGTTTGTCTTATGCTTAAGCGTCCCAAAATATTAATAAGTGACTACATGCTGCGTTGCATGGTTAACTTCCGGGTGAGAGATATGTTCGAAAGTAAATTTAAGTGCTGCCTTACAACATCAGGCACC